AGAATGATCTTGACGATTTATATGGTTTTGGAATCAAAACGTTCAAGTTGAGGGGAATGAAGCCTGGTCCGAGACATCATCATCATTCATCATGACTATGAGATGAAATGGTCTCGAGCCAGGCATCATCCACCTGAACTTTTGGCTCAGTGAGAGAGAGAGAGAGAGAGAGAAAGAGAAGAGAGAAGAGAGAAGAGAGAAGAGAAAGAGAGAGAAGAGATGATTAGATCAGGAGACGTCTAAAATCTAAATGGCCGTGCAAATGTTTTTTTTTTTTGTAGTGTTTAGCCCTTTGGTTTGTAGCCACCGACTTTCCTTTTCAGAACCATATATCGCTATTTATAGAAAGAGAATATTAATTTCTTCAGTTTTCCTTTCGATAGTTAGTTTCAAGTTATTGTCATTTTCTCAACTTACTCTATTTTCCAGATATAAAATCAACTTTTTGTTAAAACTCTCTTTTCTCAAACGTTTTATTGGTTAATTTTTTGTCTTTCTTAGACAAAGCAAGACCAATTTTTGTGTGGATGTAACAATTTGAGATATGCGGAATGCATGAATATAGTTTGGTACACCTAAGTTTCAAGCTACATCATTTACTTTAAGACCGGAACTATAAACTGAGAGACCTAACTAAAGTTTGGTATATATAATATATAAAGACGTATAACTGTTTGACAAATCACATTCAACTTTTATAAAATAACAAAATTAATTTCAAAGTCAAAAAGAAAAGAAAAGAAAAAAAAAAGTCTCTTTTGACAGAAAAGTTAGTTCCATATCACAATCTGAGAGCTAACTAACATTCAGAACTTGTGTGTGTCATCTTCGTCAAACAATATCAAATTGTAACAGAAATATTGTATCTAAACTTTGATAATTACAATTTTAGTTTTTGTATTACTACTGCATAACTGTGACAGATAACTTGATAAAGCGATAGCCACAACAATTCATTATTGAATTTTCTTTACATTAGACAACAAAGATACATTTTGCAGAAAGAAAAACAGGTAGAGAATGTGCAAAGCTTCTGGATGAGAGAGAGGGTCTTGCATCAGTCTAAAGAGAGCTTAGCAAGAGTGAGGGAAAGCACCTTTACTCCATTAGCCATGTCTTCAGGAGATGAGTATTCTTCAGGTTTATGGCTGTATCCTGCAAAGACATCACACAACACAACCAATCAAAACTTAATGGCGATCCTGATTTGATCAAGTTCACAGTCTCACTGACTCGCATATGTACCTTTGTAGCACGGAATGAATATCATACCCATCGGAGATATCCTGGAAACAGCAACACAACAACGTTCAGCAACACTCTAAGCAAGACCATTGAAAGTAGAAAGTAAAGAACTTTGAGTGTTTCAATCTGTGAAGTGTTGTACGCTTTTGTAGATACCTGGCCATGAAGAGAGAATCATGATAAGCTCGGCTTATCATCATCTTATGTGATAAGTTTAGCTCTGTGCTTGCCTCTGCCATTTTTTTGATTACTAATTTGTCTGAGAGCGCTGGTGGATCTTGATTCACAATCTTGAACTCTGACAGCTTCACTTTCCGTTTCCGAGCTATCGTGTTAGCAGATTCCTGAATTTTCTTGATCACTGTGTTTCTTCTCGCTTCATCAATATCCCTTGTATCTTTGCAAGAACACAAAAAAAAAAATGATCAATACTCTCAGTTTCTTCAAGAGCTTAAGATAAAGCAGAGACTCTATCAAGAACACAAGGCATTACCGATTTCAAGATGAGATTTGCTCGGAATGCTGTTGATTGCTCCAGGATGTAACTCCAGAATACCTTTAAACCGCAACGAGTCATCTTTGTGAATAAAAGTCCCATTGAGAGTTAAGTGTTTGAGAGCAAAACTTACCAACAGTTCCTACAGTATCTATTGATTCAGAGTCTAAGACATGTCTCTCCACGGCTAAAGCCAACTCTGCAGCCGCAAGCCCAGCATCATTTCTAAAACAACCATCATTGTAGAATTGATCAGTTTACTATTTGGTTAAGCAGATGGTTTCAAGTCTTTTACAATATAGCTCACCTATATGGCATAAGCACAGCACCAGCGTGACCTCCATTGCCTTCAAACTCAACCTTCAAACTTGCTGGAGCAGCAATGGCGGTTACTACACCGATATCTAAACCTGTGGTCGAATAGTATATGGTTGGAGAAGACAGCTAAAAGCAAGAAACTTTGTGGGAGAAAATGGAAAAACTAAACCGAAAACCGAACCTTCGTCTTCGAGTATAGGTCCTTGTTCGATATGCAACTCTATAAACGCAAAGTAACTTCCTTTCTTCAAGAACACACTTGAAAAGTCGTCACTTTTATCTTGTGCGTATCCAGCTGATCTTGCTGCTTCTATAAAGGAAACGTTTTGGCCATCAACAACTGTAGTCTTTAAAGCTTCTGCAAGCTCTTTGCTTCCAGCTAGTAAGCGGCTGTATCATCATCAAAGAACGTTTACAAGTAAGAACCAAAAACAAGAAACAATCATTTCTTGTTCACAGCTAAGATTAGATTTACCTTCCTAAACAGCTGATTCCAAAACGTGTAGGTTCTTCAGATGTGAACAAGATTATCTCCAGAGGCCTCTTCGGTTTAAACCCCGACCTCAAGAAAACAAGAAAACACCAACAAAGATCATCAAGAAACACAATCATCACCAAAGATTCAAACTTTTTAGACTCTTTGTACCTCTTTAACACATTGATAGCTTCAATTGCGCCTAAAACACCAACAACACCATCATACTTCCCGGAATACGGAATGGCATCGATGTGAGAACCGGTGGCTACAGGAGGAAGATTTGGCTCTGAGCCATCCCTAAGTTGAGATGATGAGATGAATCAGATATTCAACTTCAAAATACAGAATCAAGCAAAAGTTTGAAATTTGGAGAGTGTTTGATGAGCCAAACCATTTGCCAAATATGTTACCAACAGCGTCCTCTCTCACAGAAAGACCAGCAAGTGCCATCAAATTCTTTACATACCTTCAACAATCAATCAAGAAGATAAAAATCTAAACTTTATGATGTAAAAGTTTGCAAATTTTGTAATTTGATTACGAAATTACCGTCGTGCCAAGACATCTTTGTGAGTGTAGAGAACTCTAGTGACTGATGGAGAAGGAGCATCGGAGAAATTCGAAAGCTCTTCTATCTAAACAGATACAAAGAACAAAGAACAAAGAACAAACCAAGCTTCTGAATTTACTCTTCTACTAAGAAACCCACTTTACAGATTATTAATTTAGTCCAGAAATAGATTTGAAATCAGACTCCTATTTTGGACCTGTTTTTGTAATCCCTGAGCATCAACGGAGAGTGAAGAAGCGAGATTGATGGAGCCGAATTGGGCCGGTTCGTGAATCGGGTATCCGGAAAATTCCTCCATTGTTCGAATCGTTGGGTTTGGTTCATGTTGTTGTTGAGCTAAGCTTGAAGGTAGTAGAGACGAGAGAAGGAAGATAAGAGGAAGAAGAAGAGCAGCAACAGAGCAGAAGCGAGTTGACTCCAAAGATTCCATTTTTTCTTTCTCTCCTTTCAGTGTTTGATTCTGACAGAGAACATCGAGTTTATAAATTGTTATCTATTTGTGAAAAGAATAGTTTAATTACGAACAATGTTCTCCAAATTGTTTATAGAGGAGGAGTCCTCAAACTCAGTGGGAATCTGACACAGATTGTTTTGTTGTGGTGTTAAATTGTATATTCCTCTGGTCTCATCTCATGTCAGTGGTTTAGTTTAAAAATCAAGTTGCTATGTCTGGGAATCTTTTTGGGGTTTGATTTGATCCATTATCTTTATGGGCCCTATCTTTGTTTCTCTCTATAATGATATTATTCAGAGCAGCCCATTTTGTTAACTGGAAAATCAAAAATCGTCAGATTTTACTAAAAGGAGTCGTAACTAATTTTGTGGGTTAAAAACTTCAACGTAACTTTATATTTCGACAATTGCTACTCGTAAATTCGTAATAAATTACTAGTAGATAAGCTAAAAGTCTAAACCCAAGTTCGTTGTGGTGATTAGTATGTCACGCTTTAGTGACCTCCATGATTTTAAATCCAGCTAATTCATTACAGAGTATGTTAAGAAAACAGAAAATGATAAATTGAGAAGTAATAATAAAACATGACTGATCAAGTATTCCCTTACTATATAAATAATAACACTATCTTAAACCTTAGCTATGTCATTGTGAGTTAGCCGGCCAAATTTTCTTTCTTTTTGGGGGGATCATTTCACTAACATTTAATTAGCTTGGTGCATCTATGATAATGAATATTATTTTTCTCTCAAATCGATCTTAAGAAATAGCTCAAATCTGAAATTGTCTAATTCATGGAAGGGACCGGCATAGAGTTTAAGAATATACACGGGACTGAATTTGATTATTTTTATGCCATCCATTGTACACGAATACATCTAAGTATCTAACTAATTAGTTTTGAACAAAAAAAAAATCTAACTAATTAGTAAAAATTCAAAACACAAGGAGAAAAATTAAATAAAAAATGGAGCCACATCATTGTAGAAAAAAAACAAAGATAGGGTAGGAGTTTCAGATCGTTTAAAACTCTAATTGCAACATCATATAGCTAGATGAATATCATCCCGATGTATAGGTGATAAATATATAATATGGTTGCTTAATAAATCACAATTCGTTTAGTTTAATGGACAGCAACTTTTGGTGACTTGAATATGATACGTGGCTCTATCAAATCTAATCTATTACTAATAAGCAACCATGTATAACTATAATCGGGCACGTCAAATAATTTTTATATATATTTAGGTGGCTTTTAGGACTTTATATTGTGATTAAAATAACTTCCAAAGTCAATATGATCAACCTCATGTACTTTTCAGAATCTACAAACTCTATAAATACCACGTTTGTTATCAAGCCAAGAAACCACAACAAACTATACAATCACATTTTAAAAACTATAAATCAGTACATTTATTTTTCTCAAGAAAAGATGGCAAGCATTTGCGAAGGTATGCATATATTAATATTAGTACATGTAACCATCATTTTATCACATTTAAAGTTATGATCTCGTTCCTTAATTGATAATGCATAACTTATGTTTGCACGTCGTCATCTAGCCATCTTAAGAAGTTGGTTATGGATCCTTTTTTGTTAACGATGTATATTTAACCAAATTGATGAGTTTGATATTCTAACAGATCCAGGAAAAAGCTCGTGGCCTGAGCTATTGGAGACAAAAGGAGAATATGCAAAAGAAGTGATCGAAAGAGAGAATCCCAAAATGACAGCTGAAATCATTTTGGAAGGAACTATCGTTCTTGAGATCTATATTTGCACTCGCGTTTACGTTTGGGTCAACGATTGCGGAATCGTTGTTCAAATCCCCACAATTGGTTAATTAACTATATTAATCAAATACAAGAAAAAGTGTTTATGTACTTCACAAAATAACTATCATATATAAGCGTTTGTTCGTATTACGTACATACAGTGTAATAATGAAGAGATTGATATTATCTCTGGTTGTATCTTGTTATATATAATAAATTAAAGTTAAAGATTGTGATTATTTATCCGTTGCTAATTAATGACTAAAATGTTGTTGCAATTGTGAGTACACAATTTTGTGTGTGATAAGGATGAGAATATGTCATGACTTGGGAAAAGGTCCAGTTTATTCTGATGTGTCCCTAACTCAATATTTTTCCCTAGTTGGCGCTGAAACATCTTGAATCCCAGATTTAGATAACATGACAATCAGATTCAGTATGGTTTGTATGTTTGTAAACAATTGGTTTTGTCTTGATAAGGATGAGAATATGTATGTCATGACTTGGCCACTAGTATATGAGGCTATACAGTAAATATGCGGATTTGCAATTTATTACATTTTAAGTTCGGCGCGCACATCAAACCCAATGACAAAATCAGAAGATACAATATCATATAATTTGATTATTTCAATTATTAGGAAACATAACTATTTGATTATCATAAAAACATACAAATCTAGGCATATAATAATATATGCCCCGTTTATTTATTAGAACATCCACAACAAGCATATCTTACTTCACACACATACATTACATATTAAGATCCATGTACTGATTCACCCACATAATAGCATTAACCAACGGAAGGGGTTCGTGTGACAATGCCATGGTCATTGACACGAACATAAACGTTATCACAGATCACAACGGTCAAAACAATAGCATTTTCAGATATAATCCGAGCCGTTACTTTCGTATTTTCTCTCTCAATGATCTCTTTTGCTTCCTCTCCTCTTCTGCCCACCAATTCAGGCCACGAACTCTTAATTCCTTCACCTACAGTATCTATACATGTACACACCCATTATATTATGATACTCAATAACCGATTTATGATGATCATAAGCATGTTGCATACAAAAACAAAGTTTACCATGTAATACTGGTGAATATATTTGCTTTTGATCTATAACCCTATTTAAAATATGCATACATCAAATCTAACTTAATAATACCTGGGCATACGTCCGACATTTTCTCTTTTTCTTTTTCTTGCTTTTAGTCTCTCTTTTTTATTTTGGGAGATTATGATTTATGAAGATTGTACAAGAACCAAAGTCACTATTTATAGAAACTTTCTGGTGGCTATCCACTTTGTTTACAGTATGTACACATGAAAAATGTTCAGAGAGAGAGAGAGAGAGATTCGTACGCTTTTGAGTTTTGACCCAACGTGGTATTTAAAATAAAAATTCAAGTTTGTATTGTTTAGAGTTTCTTCACCTACTTTAGATACACGTCATATGGATATGGCAGATGTTTGAACAATATGGAGGCTCTAAAATGCAGCATAATTGATATAACTATGTGTATATATATATATATATATGTATATAAATATATAGTCGAGCAAGTCGTGGATTGATTTGAATACGATATGTAGACCGTATAATCTTTCGTGAGTCTACCGCGTATATTTTTGAAATCGGAGGCCATTTTCTTTCTTATAGTTGTTTTTATTAATTCTTTTATTTATCAAAACCTAAGATATGTTCCAGAATGAAAATGTTTTCTTCCACACAAAACGTAAGACATTTCCAAATCCTTTATTAGTTGTGTACTTATATTATATCTTTGATCACAAATCGTAATATTTTTCTTCACAAAGACTTCTTCAAAAACATAAAATAAAAGTGTATGTTGGGCGTTATATATCATGTCATATGCTGTATCTTTTGTGTTTTTTTTTTTTTTTTATTCCTGAAATTAAAGTTTATGTTCTTTTCCTTTTCGAAAGAGCATTTTGGGGACAAAAACCATTTATATAGTTCAGGTGGACTTTTATTCGTCATAATCTGATGTAGCGGAAGCTAAGATAAACACAGCTCAACCTATGATTTAAAGGAATCAATCGGGACCTGCCAGCTCAACCAAGAGATTTGATATAATCCTTACTTGGGATCTCTCTAAATCTACCGAAAATAAGGATAGAGAATACTCTTCTCTCAAAAGTCAAAGCTCTTTTATTAATAATCAATGTCTGAATTACAATATGAAGCCTAGACGACTATATATAAGAAAACCTCAAAAACCTTAAAAGCCATAAATAATAATAAATGTAAATAATACTTATTTATCTAAATACATAAAATTTAGATAATAAAGATATTTGGAGATCTTCCAAATATCACGCTGCATCAGGTCTCGCCGGCCAAGAAAGATTCGTCCTCGAATCTTCAGTAGGGTTTTCATCATGGAGCTTTGGCAGAATTATCTTCACCTTCTTTTCACCTTGGTCCAATTTTCGCACGAACCGGATTAGACCCGAAATTTGCACGGATCTGAATCTGCACGATTTTCGCACAAACCGGATTTTGCATGAAACCGAAATCTTCACCAATCTGTCTGCGCCGCCCGGATTTTGCACGCACCGAATTCTCAAAGAAACCTTCTTTGAAAACGAAGTCATAACATCAACATCATCTTCATATGTGTCATAGATCGGATCGCCATAGATCTCTCGATAGATCTTCATGACTCTCTTCTCTCTCGACAAAAGGACTTTCGCCCTCGAAAGTGTAGATGCTGTCACTCATCATGACATCCAGAATCGATCTCTGATTGAGAAATCAAAGAGACGCGACTCTGATACCAACTGATGTAGTGGAAGCTAAGATAAACACAGCTCAACCTATGATTTAAAGGAATCAATCGGGATCTGCCAGCTCAACCAAGGGATTTGATACAATCCTCACTTGGGACCTGCTTCTTGAACTCGTTGAGATCTCTCTAGATCTACCGAAAACAAGGATAGAGAATATTCTTCTCTCAAAAGCCAAAACTCTTTTATTAATAATCAATGTTTGAATTACAATATGAAGCCTAGACGGCTATATATAAGAAAACCTCAAAAATCCTAAAAATTATAAATAATAATAGATGTAAATAATATTTATTTATCTAAATACATAAAATCTAGATAATAAAGATACGCTACATCATAATCCAAAAACGAAAGTTAAGATAAGTAGGCTCTGAATAATAATTAAAATATATTGAGAGTTACAGAGAGGTTTCTTTTAGAATGTCCAAGTAAAATGTCATAATTCATAAACACCAAAAGGAAAAAACTATTAATATTATTATTGAAAGAAAAACCTATAGGAAGGATTCATTTAAAACCAAAAGAAAGAAATTTACACAAATGCTGTTTTCTTTTCTTTTCATTGTTAAATATATAGATTACAAAAGCGTACCACTTTAACCCAAAAACCTCATATAATGTATCATTCATTCAAGACTTTCCATGTAACAATGTCGAAGTTGCGAACACTGAGTTTATCAAACTCATCAGTGTCCGTTCGATGATGGCCTGAAGTCTCTATAGCCATTGATTCCAGATGACAAATTCGGGTTTGGTGATGAATCTAAGTTAAAGTAGGAGTAATTACTTGCTGATCCTAATGCTGCATCTTCTTGGTTCCTCATAGCCAACAAAGACAAGTCCATATTTGCCATCTGCCATTGCGTTTGTGCCACCAACCCATCTATTTGCCCGTTCCCATATGGCGAAGACGATGACGAAGAAGAAGAATGCGGCATGTACTCACCGTAAGACTGATGAAATCCATCGTCACTGTAACTCCTTGACCTGCCAGAGATCCCGATATCCGCACCTGCACCGCCATGATATGTGTAGGGGTTGTTGAACCGTTGTGGTAAACCGTATACACTACTGTCCATTGAACCGTATTCGTCTTCAAGCAGATCATTGATTATATCAAGGTGAGGGAACTCATCTGTCACTAGACTCTGTGCCGTTCTCCCAAACTGACTAGTAGACTGCATGCGTGTGTTGTTGTAAGGGTTCGTTCCATGATTCCCACTGATGGTTGTTGTTGTTGTTGTTGTTGTGTCTCTGTTTGAACTCGAACCACCGGTCCACAAAAGCCCACCAGATGAAACATCCCAAGAGCCAACGTTGATAGGGACCGAGATAGGAGGCGGTTGTGAATAAGGCGGCAATGTGCTTGTTGCCGTCGGTTGAGAGCTTGAGTGGTTGAAACCAGACGAACCCACTATGGCATGCTTATAGGACTGAGGAATGTAAGTTTGGCTCTGTGGTGGTGAACCTAAACGGCCTGTTGAGCTCATTGAACGAGCAAATGACGGTGTCGAGGTTTGAACAGCAGATATTACAGGTGCAGCTTGCTTTGGAGGGATTATAGGAGCACTTACAGGTCTAGACATGGATTGTACTGGTTGTGCCGCAGGTTTTGGAGAAGCAGTCTTCTGTATATCCGCTCTAGGAACCAGAGTCTGCAGCTGAATATCTCGAGATGGTGATGCTTGACCTGATGAAGGTGATCTAGCAGATACTGGTTTCTTGTTTGGAACAGCGTCTACATTTGAAACAACCTTCTTCTCCGGTTTTGCTTTCTCTAGAGATGGGAGATTCCAAGGAGCGGGAGCAGCTCTCGGCGGGGAAAGTACAGCAGCGCTTTTCTCTTTCGTCAGAACCTGGAAATGATTAAAACAAAGTCATGAGAAGTTGATGAGCATATCACTGGTACATGACTACATGAGTAGAAGGTAAAGTAATCCAATCAACAGAGTCATGTGGCTTTCCCTAGTTACGGTTTATCTTCTAATTTGATATATTAGGACTTTAGAGGGAATGAGTGAACCACCTTGCTAACAGGATTAGGCTCCCCACGGCTCTCTGGCTCGCGGATGTGGGAGATAACCACGTCAATGTCACCAACTCTGCGTATCTCAGAAGAATGGTTTTGATTCTTAGGATCAGATGCATGTCTTGAAGTGTGGTCCACTGTTGAACTGTTAGCATCAGATACTTTTCCTGGTTGCGTTTTTCCGCTGCACATAACAAGATAATGTCAGCAGGATGTGGAACAAACCAAAGAATCAAAGGAAGATGCAAAAAAAAATTACTTACTTGCTAAGCCACTTCTGGCTTCGGCAATTTGAAGCATTCCCTTTGGATGACCCATTAGCTACCCCTGATCGAATCGATTCATTAGAACAAGTTGAAGAACTATCATCCACTGTGGAGATACACTTTCTATCTGCAATGCCGTTAGGTATAGATATGGAACTGCCTCCTTCTCCAGTAGTGTCTCTTGAAGGAGGAGGATGAATCTCTGAGGTATCTATTTCCCAATGAACAGGGCTACTCTCTCTATCAGCTGAACTATCTACTGAATCAGAGACGTCAGAGACATCTTCAAGTGTGTCCGGTTTTTCAGCTGACGATTCGGCTTTGGCCCTCACGCATTCCTCTTTCTCAATAAACGTTTCTTGTGTTTGGGTGCTCACCTTCTCTTCTTTCTTTTTATCCTTTCCTCGATTTTTGTTCTTTTTCTGTTTGGCCTGTGAATTACCAAACAGCCAAGAATCTCCATTAGCAGTTTGAACAGCTTTTTTTTAAGGGCATTATAAACTTTGGAAGCAACAAAAGTGCAAAAAGACCTGTTTCTTCTTAGATTTCTTCTCTTTTTCGGCTGCTCCTCTTTTGGCCTTCTGTTCGCTTTCTGCCAGCCAAGCTTCCTCTTCTTCGCGAATAAGTTCTTCTTGCCTTCTCCATGCAATAGCTTCTTGGTATGCAGCCTCAATTTTGCTGCTGCATTTCTCAGAAAAATTGCAGTTCGAATTATGAGGTACAGCTAAGAAAACGAAGACATACAATACCAGACGACCAGAAATAGAAAATAAACACTATCAGATGTTTCAGAATCAAGAACAAATCAATTTGTTACCTGAAGATATGTGCAAGAACAAATCTCTCCATAGTCCGTCTACCCAACTCAGTCAAACGCCTCTCATCACGCTCTGTGGCTTCGTTATTGAAGCCTTCTCCAGCATTCCCATCCTGCATTCGGATGGAAGAATGGAAACAAGGTTATGAATACAAGAGACGCCAAGCTTCAAGCATTTTTACATGGATAATAAAAACCAAAATGCACTTATGCATAACACATCACGGAATTTTAATCAGTAAAATGCATAACCTAAGAAACTAACCTTTGTACGCGTTTGAGGACCTCTTTCATCTTTTGGAGGCAATGGCTCAAGAGCAGCCCTCTGTATGAGCAATAGAACATCATCAACTAATACAAACATATCCTTGTCCACACTAACAATTGGAGCTGGCAGTTCTTCGATATCAGCTAGCCTCGGCCTACTTTTCTTATAATTAGTTAGGCCATCAAGAGCCTTCCACCCACTGTACAAGGAATCCATCACCAAAGTGGATGCAACTTCCTTCTCGATGAAGAAGTGTTTCACAACTAGTTTTAAAATCACATCCCTTTTCTCTCGAGACATCCGACGCCTTGAAGTTTGGTCCAACCCTAACCAGAAGGCACTAAAGCTGCACCACAAAATTACCATTCCTTGTTATGCAAATTGCTCAATATTTGAAGGAAATAGGAAAGGAAAAGTGCAGATGAGTGTAACTCTCGGCCTCCACAGCTATATATGAATATACCTTCTCCATTTTGCTTTGTCCTCTATCAACCTAATAAGCCTGCTTCTTTTTTCTTCCACAAACTGCGAGCAATTTTGTTCTACATTTTTCAAATACACCCTAACAAGTTCCCTCCTATAGTGACAATCAAGGCAGCGGAAAGGTCGATCCACCCTCTCTCTGCAAGAATCAAATTCACATTAAAAAAATAAGCAAACATTTAACTGCAATGTGTACGGTCAGGAAAGCATTAAACTCAAATCTTGCATTTACCTGATCACCTGAACTTGAGCCTTAATTGTAAGAGCGCCAGACTTATCTATGAAACCTTGCTCTAATTTAGTTAACTCCATAAACTTTTTCCATCCCCAATCATGCTCTTTCTTCCAGAACCGGTGCAATGTATCTGCAAACAAGTGTGTTCAGTATGACTGTAACGGGATGCAGGGAAAAAGTAGAAGATGTCAAAAAGGTAACCTGAATGCTTCGAATTCTTTGGATCTGTATTCACCACAGCTATAGTAAACTGAGCAAAATGACTCCAACCTGTGTCAAAGACAACAGCAAAACCCAATCGATAAAGTTTACAAGTTTGAGAGAGGGAAGCAACAAGCGAAAAACAATACTCACCTGGAAGAAGTTTATCATGGTTTGCAACACAGAGAAACAGAGAGAGATGGTTACAAACATCACAACCTTGTGGATAAATTAATATATACCTGCCATTACAGGAATATGAAACATTTCAGCATGCATAAGGAAAAAAAAAATGCAACTAAGTTTAGTGATTACAGTAATTTCAAACTTGTAATTAAGATAGCTAAATTAATGAACGGAAAAAGAAAAAAAAAAGATCATTTACCATTTGTAGCCACCGACTTCAAAAACATCGCCACGAATCTCCCGTTTATTGATCTCTGAAAATTTCTCAATCTTCCAAGTATGTCTCCCAAATAGTTCAGATGGTTTTAGTCCTATGAATAAGGGAAACAATCGAATGAAAACGCCGCCGCGAAACACATATGGTAACAAAAATGGAAGAATGGAAGAGACTCATTTCATGCAAGTAAACAACATTCATGAGAGACTAAGACATACACATACCAAAATCATCATCATCATCACCAATGTCCCAGTAAGGGGGCGACGTCGAAGGAGTACCATTCTCGACTTGATCAGACGACCGCCACTCCGCGAGAGCTTCTTCTGATTGACTTCTTTGCCCATTTGAATTCCCTTCCACTGATCTTCCTGCTCCGGAATCTTCATTAGTAGTCTCGGACATTCCCCTGAAGCTAATCTCTCTTCCAAACTACGAAAATTCAAGAATTGAGGATATATATATATATATATATATTAGATCCTAAACTGTTTTCTCTGGGCAACTTATATAAACAATGAATGACCAAGCTCAAAATTCCTTTGTTTCCCGAATACGATAATCACAATTACTTTGAGAAATTGTCAAAACCAAGAATTATAGCTGAAGTGGATCAGGATTAAGTGTTTAAATCAATCACTCACAGTCACAGACTCGCAGACTCAGAGCACAAAGACATCGAAAAAATCTCAATTCAATCACTCACTCACGAATTGATTGCTCAAATTCAATACACTAAAAACCCAACATCAGATAAGCAAATCAACACTAAGAGAAAACTAATCTTAGAAATAAGCGGAAGAAATGCTAGAGAGCCAATTGTTCATATCTATCAACTAAATCTCCAGAATTACACCCAAATGCAAACAAAAAACATCGGAAACTCGTAGAAAGCTAAGAAGAAACCAGCGATCGGATAAAAACAGGAAAACGGCACAAACTAAAACCAGGGATTGAAAATCGGAAACCTAAGCATCGGAAAATCCGATTAGTTAAGGAAATCGAGATTGAAGGGACGTAAAGGACGGCGTGTAGATCGTAGCGCACCTGTGATTGTGAAAGAAAGAGCAGAGAATCAGCTTAAATCAGATTAATGGCAGCTCAAGCTTTTCTAGAGAGAGACGGAAGAGAGGTCGTAAGAAAGAAGAAAAACACAGCGAAAGAGAAGAAGAGAGAAACAAAAATAAACCCTTATAGAAAAAAGTTAATTATTATTATTAATTTAATAAGTTTCGATGACATATATGATATATGTATATAACTAAGTAACGCTCATGTTTAATTTGTCTCCATTTAGCTTAATAAGAGGAAGAAATGAGGTGAGACCAAAAATGGAGAAGGAAACAAAGCAAGAAACCTAATTTTTCTTTAACTGATTAATTTCATATAAGTTTTCAAATTTATTAAATACATTTATTCAAACAAAATTTTGTGTAAGAAGTAAGAACTAAGAACCACATGAAAGAGATAATAACCATTTTTTATTAAAAAGTCAATTTTGTCATTATTTCTTGTAGGAAGATTTATAAATTAGTTTTTATGGTAAAAAGGTATTTATGAGTTGTAATGTTAAACTAAACATTTATTACCTAAAGAACTTAGTAAAAGACTATTTATGATTAGTTTATTTAAATTAGTGTGTGTAGTAAAGGAGTATTTATGAAATATTAAATTATTTTTATCTAATTTAAATGAAAGAGCTTTTATAGTTGGGATTTTTTGAAAAATACCCTGTTTATATTTAAAATTTTGAGAAATACCATATTTTTTCTGTTTTTAAAAAGTACACTTTTTATATATAAAAAGACTGTTTTGACATTATTTAAACAAAGCATAATAAATTAAATACGAAATTTGAAAATAATAATATTGATAATAATTTAATTATTTTTTCCCAGATAAATCTATGTTAATTATTAAAAAAATGAATAAATCTATCTTTTCATTTTTAGTGTTTATCTTTAAACAAATTTAAATATTTTTGACCTTATATAAAACAACTTTTCTCTCACCATAACCTAATTAAGCTTCATCATTGACGAAAATAAAAATATGAGCCACCAAAATATAACTCTTACGTAATTATTCATATAATAACTTCGAGCAGTTCATATAAATCAGAATATTCATATAACTATTTTCTTATATATAGCAGTTCATCAACGTGTGTTTTATACTTTTTACGACATTCATACAACAAATTCAATAAGATTAGTATAACAATATGACTGTTGCATAGATTGTTCTTGCTTTGATCTGAATATTTGTATATACTTCTATATAATGTATGTGAAATGACTTAATTATCTTAATTTTAAAATTTCAGTTAATTTAATAAAAAGTAAATTTAAATAAGAAATACAAAATTATAAGAACAATCATGGAGTGTAGGAAGAGTGAATTTTGTTAGACACGATTGTAGCAATCTGCAAATTTGAGGATGAAAATCAGCTTTGTTTTAAATGTTACTTCTGATCCTGACCAGGTTAAAATCTTTCTCCTTGTGATGGTCGGATAATGACTTATACTCTTGACTGTTCCTGTATTTGTTTGTATCGTTTCCTTTAGAAATGATGCCTCACAGTTGTTACTAACTTTTCAAGGAAAAAATAACTTGCAGAATCATAAATGGTGTTCTCCAAAAGCTATCACTCAAAACATGTATCTTACGAAGTGATGTTGTCTCTCTGCAATGCACTAAAAGATAAATGATCACGGAGGTTTTGCGTGAGATGAAAGGTAACGACGTGGATCACTGTGAACCAACAGTACACAGTGATATGTTTGCTAGATTTTGTCACTGCATCACGACGTAAACTCATCCAGGTCTCCATGCTGGTGCCCAGAAATACTATGTTATTAGCTACGATCCACAAACGATGTAGCATTGCTTCTCCACAACCTGCTCCCTCTTGAGAGGTGAGGTACTGAGGTGTATGTATACTACAATGTGTATGTATGTAGTTATAAATACGTGGTTTTGTATTGTCCACACATCGTTAATGGTTTGATACTAATTGTTTAATGCTTTAACTAACCCGACTCTGTGTTTTGGACTGATATTTGAAGCTGCTAATTTAATTTTTCATGTACAGTTTCATGGTTTTAATTTTCTTAACATATTCTTTAATTTGGGATAATGACCATGAAACTCTACGAGATGAAATCAATTATATCGAAAACCTTATTTGTCCGAGCATTATTACTCTATTAAAACGTGCAGCATTGGAAGAATGCCGTAATAGTCATGTTACTGGACTCAAATTAAATAGGTAGAATAAGAAAACAAAGCCAATTGAAAAATAAATTGTAAATAAAAGGAAGAAAACGAATAAAAATCAGAAAATAATAAGATGACGATGAAGAGAACAAAAGAAAAAGAGAATATAATATCTGATAAGAATAAGAAAAAAATAGTAGAAAATGAAAAAAAAAATATGAAAGAAGTAGAAAACAAAGTAAAAGAAGAAGAAGATAAAATGAGGTTAGGGTTTACGATGTACAGTTTATATTGATGGGTGTAAGATTTAGTTTTTGGTGCATTTTAAAAAATTTGAATACAATACATTACCGATTAAAAAAAAAACGGTTTTTAAGAAAAAAAATTAAAAATAAAAGCAAATTCAGAACAAATTTGTAAAATGTGGGATTCAGGTGTGCGGTTTGTGGGAGAGGGGGGTGTGAGGGGGTGTTATACTGTTGGGTTTAGGGTGGGGGTGTTACACTCCGGGGTTTGGGTTTAGGGTGTAGGGTTTATATTGACGAGTGTAAGGTTTAGTTTTTAATGCATTTTAAAAAATTTGAATTATAATGGAAGAATTTCATCGTTAAAAATCATTGATTATAAATTTATTTATACTTTTCTAAATTACATTCACAAATATAAAAAGAAAACTAAAAAGTTAAAGCAAATTCAGAATCGAAAGATAACAAAACCAATGAATTTTTAAAAATCTCGACTATATAAAGATAAAAGCTATTTCATAAATCCTTAAAAATCTAAATTATCGAATGAATTGATAAGTGAAATACAAGACGTAGATAAGGACGAATAAAAAGACGAGTAAAAGAAAAGAAGACACTGACAAAGAAGATGAAAAATTTGGAGAAGAAGAAAACTCGAACATGAGAAAATAAAAATCAAAAAAGAAAAATGGAATATGATAAGAAAAAAGACAAAGACGAGATAAATAAAAATTAGAATAATATGATGTCAGAAAAGACAAATATGATAAAGATAAAGAGAGAAGGATTGAGGAAGAAGAAAAATCGAAAAAAGAATGTAAAGAAATTTATAAAGAAAAAGAAGAATAATGAGTTGGAGGATATGAAGACACAAGAAAATATTGAAGAACAAAAACTGGAAGAAGAAAAAGATGATGAGTACGAATATAAAATTGAAAGAAAAGGAAGAACATGGGATAATTAGAGAAGAATAATAGGGAGAAGAAAAGAAGAAGTGAAAAATCTTTTGTATATCTTAAATCGAATGAAGACGATTACGTGAAAAAATGAGAAAGCGAAGATAAAAATAAGAAATACCATGATTAAAAAATAAGAAGCCGGCGAAAAAAAACTATGAATACAATAAAAATTAGACTATTTATATTATTCAAATCTTTAATTAATTAATGTGTTTAAAAAATATTGTACCCGCACAAGGTGGGGGACAACCACCTAGTTAAAGAGTATATTTTCAAAATTTCTCTTAGTTTGTACTTAACCCTTTAAAAATTGTTGTGATAATCATGCGGAAATTCTTTTTATAATAAATTAGTGATTTGTAGCTTATATTTAAACTATAAGTAAAATTTAATAGTGAATCCACAAAAATATGTAAAATACAAGAAAGTAGCTGAGATGATTATGGCAAATCACCAATGAATTTATCTGAAAGGAGACTAATGAAGTGAGATAACTGAATGCTTTTTTTTCTTCATCTTTGTATCAATTGATTGGTTAAAATAATGTTACAAAAAAAAAGCTGATAGTTGTCAAATTTAGAAATAAGGTTTTTTTAGTTGAGTCATTCATTAAACCAAAACAACCAAGTTTATTTGTTTTTCTTTTGCATTGATAATAGGAGAGCATAGAAAGTTATTTTCTTTTTAAAATCTCGCACTAAAACATTGATGATGGTTATTTAAGATGTACCAAAAGAAAAAGAAAAAAAAAAAGAATTGAACCCTACACGTCGTCTTTCAGGAGATCGTTTATTATACCCAGGTGAGGGTTATTTAAAATACTCGTCAAACTGATCATTGATGATGCAAGGGTTCGTTCCATGATTCCCACTGATGGCTGTTATTGTGTTTTTGTTTGAACCCGAACCACAGGTCCACAAGAGGCCACTAGATAAAACCTCATTCAAAGAGCCAAAGTTGATAGGTAAAGCGGACTGACTAGATACCGAGATAGGAGGCGGATGTGAATAAGGCGGCAATGTGCTTGTTACCATCGGTTGAGAGCTTGAGTTGTCGATACCAGATGAACCCACTATGGCATGTTGGGACTGAGGAATATAAGTTTGGTTATGTGGCTGTGAACCTATACGCCCAGTTGAGCTCATTGAACGAGGAAATGACCATGTCGAGGTTTGAACAGCAGATACTTTAGGAGCAGCTTGCTTTGCAGGGACTATAGGAGCACTCACAGGTATTGACATGGATTGTATTGGTTGTGCCGCCGGTTTTGGAGAAGTAGGTTTCTGTATCTCGACTCTTGGAACCACTGTTTGCAACTGAATATCTCCATATGATGATGGTAATCTGGCAGATACTGGTTTCCAAACCTTTTTCTCAGGCTTCCAGAACATCTTCCTCACAGTCACAGGTCTGGTTATGGATTGTTCTGGTTGTGTCTCCGGTTTTGGAGAAGCAGTTTTCTGTATATCGGCTTCAGAAACCACAGTCTGCAACTGAATTTCTAGAGATGATGATGATGGCGAAGGTACTTCTTTTCCTTTTGGAACAACATCCGTTGTCTCCGGTTTTGGAGAAGCAGTTTTCTGTATACCAGCTTCAGAAACCACCGCCTGCAACTGAATGTCTGAAGATGATGATGATGATGATGATGATGAAGGTACTACTTTTGTTTCTGGAACAACATCTGTTGTCTCCAGTTTTTTGGCTGCTCTAAAGAAGGGCATTGATTCTTAGGGTCAAATTCCTCTTTCTCAATAGACCCTTCTTCTGCTTGGGTCCTCGCTTTGTCTTTCTTTTTTGCCTTTCCTTTGTTCTTTTTCTGTTTGCCAAACCACAAAGAATCTCCATTAGCACCTTGAACAAACTATTTTACGGCATTATAGAAAGCAATAGAAGTGTAAAGACACCTTTTTCTTCTTAGATTTCTTCTCGTTTTGTGCTAGCAAGGCTTCCTCTTCTTCACGAATTAGGGTTTCTTGATTTGTATATGCAACAGCAAAGTCGTACAGACGTTCAATTTTGTTTCTGTCAGAAAGATTGCAATGCACAACACATCAGTACCGCTAAAAACACAAAGACATGTACATTACGAGATGACAGAATAAAAAGAGTAAACACTATCACCACTGTCAATACCAGATCTTTCATGCATGCTTTTGGTTTGTAAACATAATATGTGCAAATGAAATGATTTGTATAGAAATTTTAAACCTATAGAAAAATTATGCCATCTTACATGAAGATATGTCGAAGAACAAATCTCTCTACGGTCAGTCTACCCAACTCGGCTAAACGCCTCTCATCACGCTCTGTGGCTTCGTTATCATCTGCATCTATATCAATCCCATCCTAGATTCGGATGGAAAAATAAAAGTGATATTTAATAAAATAAGTAACGCCAAAATGCACCAACCAAATCATTAAATTTCAATCAGTCAATTCTTAACCTAAGAAACTAACCTTTGTAGGGGTTTGAGAACCGTTATCAACTTCTGGAAGAAATGGCTCAATGGCAGCCCTCTTTAAGAGTAACAGCAAATCATCAGCTAACACAAACATGTCTCCGTCCATACGAACCAGTGGAGCTGGAAAGTCTTCGGTATCGGTTAGTCTTGGCCTAGTTTTAGTTTGACCTTCAAGAGCCAGAGCCTTCAACCCACTACAAAACGCATCCATCAATAAAGTGGATGTAAAGTCCTTCGGGTCGAAGAAATTTGCTACAAGTTGTTTGTGAATCTCATCCCTACTCTCGAGAGAGAACCGACGCCTTGTATTTTCGTTCAACAATTTTGACCAGAAGACATTAAGGCTGCACCGCAAAAAAAAAATTACAGTCCATTTCTTGTTACGCAAGTTGCTCAAACTTTGAGGGAAATATTTCATGAAAATAGGAAAGGAAAAGTGCAGATGCATACTTTCTCCAATATTCTTTGCCCTCTATCCACTTAATAATCCTTCTTCTTGTGGCTTCCACCATCTGCGAGCAAATTTGTTCTACATCTTTCAAATACACCCTAACAAGTTCCCTCTTATACTGAATATCAAGGTAGCGAAAAGGTCGATCCACTCTTTCTCTGCGAAAAATAAAAATCAATTTACGAAGATGATTCACATGCAAAAAAAAAAGAATACATTTAATTGCTATGTGAAAGGTCAGGAAAGCTTTAGGTATATTAATGGGATGTTTGAGACATGACTTTAGGTAAAAAAACTAGATTTTTTACCTGATCACCTGAACTTGAGACGTAATTAGAAGAGAGCCAGAATCATGTAAGTAACCGTCCTGTAATTTAGGTAACTCTATAAACGATGTCCATCCCAAAAGGTGCGTTTTCTTACAGAACCGGTGTAATTTGTCTGTGAAAGAAATGTGTTCAATATGTCTGTGTAATGGGAATATGGGATGTAGCGAAAGTAAAAGATGTCAAAAGGTAACCTTTACGCTTTGTTTTCTTTGGATCAGCAGTGTTCACCACAGCTACAGTAAACTGAGCAAAATGATTCCAACCTGTCTCAAAGATAGCAGCGGATCCCAAACGATAAAGTTTACAGTCTGAGAGAGTGAAGCTCTAAACGGACAACAAGTAAACAACAATACTCACCTGGACGAAGATCATCATAGTTTGCAACACACAGATACACAGGGAGATTGTTGTCACTACCTTGTGGATTAATCATGATAAACCTGCCATCAGGCATCACATAAATATGAAATATTTTAGCAATAATTAGATAATAAGTAAAATATAAACTCAAAAAAATAAGTAAAGTAAGAAAAAACCAAAATTGAAAAATGTGCTATATGAAATTAGAAGCATCTGTTATCATGTATTAGAAAACTAAGAGAATCGTATAAGCATTCTTAATCTTATTTTATTTACTATCACGCCTAATATGTCTAGTAAATTAATTAAAAGCCTAGATATATGGAGGGAGACAATCACAATAACAAAATAAAAGCCATCATTTACCAATGGTAGCCACCGACTTCAAAAACATCGCTACGAAGTTCCCGTTTCTTGATCTGAAAACTTCTCAATCTTCCAAGTATGTCTCCCAAATAGTTCAGAAGGTTTTGGTCCTATGAATAACGGAAACAATCGAATAAAATGCCACAAAACACATATCGGTACTAGTAATACCACAAAAAGCTATAAAGAATGAAAGACTCATTTTCATGCAAGTCAACAACATTCACGAGAATGTACCATGCAAGAAACACATACCAATATCATCATCATCATCATCAATGTCCCAGTTTGGGGGTGACGTCGTCGAAGGAGTACCACTCTCGACTTGATCAGACGAATGCCTCTCCGCGAGTGCTTCTTCTGATTGACTTCTTTGTCCATTTGAATTGCCTTCCACTGATCTTCCTGCTCCGGAATCTTCATTCCTAGTCTCGGACATTCTCCTGAAGCTGATCTCTCTTGTAAACTACGCATATTTAATAATCAAGCATATAAATTAGATCCTAAACCGTTTATTTGGTAGCTGATATAAAAAATTGAACAAGCTCGATATTGGTTTTTTTTTTCTCATCATATTATTATGTGCTAATTCAATTGTGAAAACCAAGAAGTGGATCATGATGAACTCTTTAAACAAATCACTCACAAAATCGAAAAATCAAATTAAAATCATTCACTCACTCACAGGAACCTGACGATTTCATGGGTCAAACTAATACACTAAACCCACCCCAGGATAAACCTTACAAAACCATACCTCCAGAATTACACCCAAGTGCTAACAAAAACAAAAAAAAACATAAATCTCGAAAAAAAGCTAATTAAGAAGAAGCTATCAGCCACCGCATTAACCAAAGCTAGACAAACTAAAGCCAGGATTGAAGAACTGAAATCTAATCATCGGAAAAGGAAAGCGAAATTGAACCTGCGGTTTGATGGAAGCTCCCCAAACTTTTAGAGAGAGAGAGGCCGGGAGAAAGGGAGAGAGAGAGAGAGAGATAAGAAATCACAGTCAAATATAATTGTCATTAGATTTTTTAGGAAGATATATTTATATGGTAAGAAAGTATTTCTGATTTGTTTTAAATCTAATTTCAAAGATTTATTACCTAATTAACTAAATGACTATATCATTCATTTTACGAAAAAAAAAGACTAAAAGACTATAGTTAATCAATCTAAAAAGTATTTATGATTTATAAATTATTTTATCTGTAACGCTTAAAATTGTTTATGATTACTGATTTGTAACTTTTCAGTAAATTAAATTATATGTAAAATTTAATAGTGAATGCACAAATAATCAGTAAAAGACAAGAAAGTAGTTAAGATAATTAGAGAAAATCACCAACGAGTTATGTAAGAAGATAATACCGATGAGAGACAACTCCAAACAAGTTTCGCATATTGTACTAGTCAAAATTATGTTCTTTATATCAATAATGTATTCTTTATGTATCAAAATTATGTTTTTCCGGTTTACATATGTTTTAGATTTTTGTTGTCAAATTTAGGAATGAATTGATGACTACATAGAAGTTGTTCTTTTTCATATAGAATTTTATAATATTTTGATTATATTGTTCTGTCGCCAAAAGCTTTATAGTTAGATCGACCACAAGCACCATTATGTTTTTTTGTGTGATGAGTTCGACTCTCTTCTTCCAAGCCACTCGGTAAAAATTTCAGTTAGTGAACTTAATTCGCCAACAAAAGTAAAAATGTATTTTTCTGTTTATTTGAGTTAAAGAGGTCCATCAAACCCAAGCAAGCATAATATGTTTTTTATTTTATTTTTGTTTAAATGTAAAATTAAGTAATCAAACTAAGAAAAATGTTTACGTACACAAGAGATGTGGTATTAAACTGACAAACACAAACCAATTGATGATCCAAAGAGAGTCGTGAGCTCTAAACCACGGAGAAGATCCCGGAGGTTAGGCTTCTCGACGTAGCGAAAGGAGACAATGCGATTACGTACCATCTTCTCAATCACACGCATGAGCTGGTTCACTTGACATGTCCCCGCCCTACCAACAAAATTTAAAATTTCCCTAAACTTGAGCAAGAAAAAGTATATTTGCATTGATATTAGTATACTATTTTCCTTGTTAAATCTCGCAGTAAAACATAGATGATGGTTAAATTTTAGAACTATAAATGGATGTACTGCTCCAAAATAATTTCATTAGTCAAGTTATCATTAAGTAACATCAATAGCGGTTCGAGACTTCGAGACCAGTGGTAATATCTGATCTGAGATCTGACATAATTTATGATATGTAATTAAACATAATTTAAACTGTAATCATATTTTAATAATGAATGCAAAACAAAAAGGAAATCATAAAATCTATGAAAAACAAGTAAATAGTTCAGATAACCAAGGCAAATCGCCAATGAATTCTAAAATATTACAATGCATGCATGCCCCCTTTAACCCAAAACCTCACATATAGTTCATCAGACTCAGTTCCATCACCTGAAGGGGCCATGCAACTCCGGGTTTGATGATGAACCAAAGCTAAAGTAAGAGAAATCGTCTTGGTTCCTCATTGCCAGTAAAGACATGTCCATGTTCGCCATCTGCCGTTGCGTTTGTGCCAGCTCATCCATTTGCCAATACGAATAAAAAGAAAAATGTGGCATAGATTCTTCACTATGACTTTTTGACCTGCCAGAGATCCCAAGATTTGCCGCTTTCCCAAACTGAACATTATTAGTAGGCTGGGTGCTGGTAGTTACCGGTGTGTTGTAAAGGTCCGTTCGATGATTCCCGGTGATGGTTGTTGTTGTGTCTCTGTTTGAACTCGAACCACCGGTCCACAAGAGCCCACAATATGAAAGATCCCAAGAGCTAACGTTGATAGGGAAACAAGACTGACTAGATACCGAGATGGGAGGCGGATGTGAATAAGGCGGCAATGAGCTTGTTGCCTTCGGTTGAGAGCTTGAGTGGTTGAAACCAGGTGAACCCACTATGGGATGTTCATAGGACTTAGGAATGTAAGTTTGGCTATGTGGTGGTGAACCTAAACGGCCTGCTGAGCTCATTGAACGAGCAAATGACGGTGTCGAGGTTTGAACAACAGATATTAGAGGTGCAGCTTGCTCTCGAGGGATTATAGGAGTACTCACAGGTCTAGACATTGATTGTACATGTTGTGCCTCAAGTTTTGGAGAAGCAGTCTTCTGTATATCGTCTCTAGGAACCATAGTTTGCAGCTGAATATCTCGAGATGATGATGCTTGACATGATGAAGGTGATCTACCAGATACTGGTTTCCAAACAAGTTTTTTCACTGGAGCAGCTTGATTCCAGAGCAGATTTCTCCCAGTCACAGGTCTGGATATGGATTGTACTGGTTGTGTCACCGGATTTAGAGAAGCAACTTTCTGTATATAGACGACTCTTGGAACCACAGTCTGCAACTGACTATCTGGAGATGATGATGATGATGATGAAGGTACTTCTTTTCTTTTTGGAACATCATCTTTTGTCTCCGGTTTTGGAGAGGCAGTTTTCTGTATGTCGGCTTCAGAAACCACAGTCTGCAGCTGAGTGTCTGGAGATGATGATGATGATGAAGGTACTGCATTTCTTGTTGGAACAACATCCTTTGTCTCCGGTTTTGCTTGCTCTAAAGAAGGGCTTTAATTTTTAGGTTCAAATTCATCTTGCTCAATAAACGTTTCCTCTGCTTGGGTCCTCACCGTGTCTTCTTTCTTTTCTGCCTTTCCTTTGTTCTTTTTCTGTTTCGCCTATAAAATTACCAAACCACAAAGAATCTCCATTAGCACCTTGAACAAGTTGTGTTAGGACATTATATACTTTGAAAGTAAGGCAACATTGTGAACAAAGAGAAGAAGTTTTTAGATCTGAATATTACAGGTTTTCATTAACCCTTTCACAGTTACATGAGATTCTCTATTTATACAATGAGAAGGGATTCTAGAGTATTCTCATACAAAATGATCTAATCACATCTGTCAATAATCTAATCACTCTACAACGACATCAAAGCGGTTCCAACATCTAAGTGCAACATGTCCTTTTCGACCACAAATCTGACACACAGGTAGTTCATTAGATTGTGTTCCAGATTGATTGACCTGCTGCGTGAAACCTCGACCCCGGGTTGAAAAACCACTACCACGACCACGACTGTTTCCAAACCGAGAGTAAGAACCACCACGACCTCGTTGAGAAGGTCCAAAGCGTTGTGTTTGAAAAGCCATATGCGGCGACACGTCCGTTGAAACATCATAAGATTGAAGCCGGTGATCAAAACCAGAGACATCAGAGACGACATCATTGAACGTCGGTGGTGGGAAACGAGACATAGAACTCTGGATGACAGTGGAGATCGGATCATACTCACGACCCAAACCGTTCAGAAAAGTAAAAATCTTCATCGACTCATCAACTGGCTTTCCAATGGAGCTCAATTAGTCACAGATCGAACGAAACTCTCGACTGTAAGTGAGAAAGTTTGAACCTTTAATAGAGAGTTGATGTAGACGTCTACGCAAATCAAACTCTCTAAAAACAGATTAAAATTGTCAGCAAGAGCCATCCAGACCTCGTGAGAGGTTGATAAAACATGAACATAACCTAAGACTTCCTCTGTTAGAATACCAAACAGCCATGAGAGAATAAGTTGATCAGTACATTGCCAAGCTTCAAAAACCGGATTAGGTTGGTGGACTTGCTCATTGTTGACTGTGATGAGAACAGTGGCCGGCGGAGGTGGAGTTTGACCGGTAACAAAGCCAAGAAGCTTCTGGCTACGGAGAAGAGATTCGAATTGGGTTTTCCAGAGTAGATAATTGGAATCATTAAGCTTAATTGTAACTGAACTGGTAACATGAAGATTAGACGGGAAAGGGAAAGGATCTTGAGCCTCAGCCATGACAGCACCGATTAGGGTTTATGAGAGCTCTGATACCATGTGAACAAAGAGAAGAAGTTTTTAGATCTGAATATTACAGGTTTTCATTAACCCTTTCACAGTTACATGAGATTCTCTATTTATACAATGAGAAGGGATTCTAGAGTATTCTCATACAAAATGATCTAATCATATCTGTCAATAATCTAATCACTCTACAACGACAACAGTGAATTGTATTGATTGTGTAATACAATCTCTGCTCCCGCTCTCTCTGTTTTGGTGTGTTGGAGAAGACGCTCATGTTTATCGAGATCCTTCTGCTGCTGTAGACATGGGCTTCGTAGATCACTTGGGCTTTGTGAAATTGTGTTATTACTTAAGCTCACATTAATCCTCTTCTCGTTACTTGATATACTTTCAAACATAAGTGTAAAAATACCTTCTTCTTCTTAGATTTCTTCTCTCTTTTGGCCTTTTGTTTGCTTTTTGCTTCCTCTTCTTCGCGAATCAGCAATTCTTGCCTTGTCCAGACAAGATCTTCTCGGTATGCAATATGAATCTTGTTGCTGCATTTTTTCAAGCATGTTTACGGTTGTAAGCAAAATATGTGCTCATCATCAATTGATTTTTATTTGAAGTCTCAAACTTAGAGACAAATGATGGAATCTTACATGTAGATATGACCAAGAGCAAATACTTCCATAGTCCGTTTACCCCTCTCAATTAGACGCCTCTCAACATCTTTTATGGTTTCATCATTGTATACTCCTCTAGCATTCCCATCCTACATTCGGATGAAGAAAAAATATTAATACAGCATTCGATAGACAGACAAGAAGCATTTTACATGGATAGTAAAAACAAAAAAATTAATGCACCAACAAATCATTAAATTTTAACGTATAACGGAAGAAACTAACCCTTGTGGTTTGATGACCTAATTATCTTTTGAGGAATGGCTCCAAACAAAACCTCTGTATGAGTGACATCACATCATCAGCTAACACAAACATATCTTCCTCCACAGTAACCATTGGAGCTGGCAATACGTCAGTATCCGTTTGGCCTTCAAGAGCCTTCAAACCACTATACAAGAACTCCATCACAAAAGCGGATGTGATTTTGTGCTCGTTGAAGAAGATTTTAACAACTTCTTTTAGAATCACGTCCCTTTTCGCCCGAGACAACTGACGCCTTGAGTTTTGGTCCAACCCTAACCAGAAGGCACCAAAGCTTCACCGGAAAACAAACAACACATTACTTGTTACGCAAATTGCTCAAACTTCGAGGGAGATACTGTAATCTAGAGGAGTGTAAATGTGGAATACCTGTTCCAGTTTAGCTTGTCCTCTGTTATTTTAATAAGCTCTCTTCTATACTCTTCCACAAACCAGAATAAAGGTAGATCTACATCTGGCTTAAACACCGTTGCAACTTCCCTCCTATACTCATAATCAAGGCAACGCCATGGTCGATCCACCCTCTCTCTGAAGGAATAAATTTACGCAAATTATTCTCATGCAAAAAAAATACAATATAACCTCTTTACATGACTTTAATTAGTTAAATTCAATATTGTATTTTTGATTACCTGATCACCTGAATCTGAACTCCAATTAAAAGAGAATCAGAATCATATATGAACCCTTCATGTAATTTAGGCAACTCTATAAACTCATTCCATCCCCGAGCAGTCTCTTTCTTCCTAAACCGAAATATTAAATCTGCAAACAAAAATGTGTTCAGTATGTCTGTGTAGTTTAATTAGATGCAGTAAAAATTAAAAGATGCCAGAACGAATTAACCTGCATGCTTCGATTTCTTTGGATCTAATTTATTCACCAGAGATACAGTAAATTGAGCCAAATGACTCCAGCCTGTGCAAAGACAATCTTAGAGCCTGAGGCCAAAAAAAAATAAAATAAAAAAGACAATTTAGAGCCTAGATAAAGTTTCTATCGAGCTCGAGAGGGAAGCTAAATCGGACAACAATACTCACCTGGAAGAAGATCTTCAAGTCTGCGACACAGAGAAACAAAGAGAGATGGTTGGAACTGGAAGCATCACGACCTTGTGGATAAATTACGATAAACCTGCGAATGCCATTAGAGAAATATAAAATATTTTAGCATGCATATGGAAAACTAGGGGACTACGTTTAATGATTACAGGAACTTCAATATCGTTATCATGGCAATCTATTAAATGGAAAATGGCCATATTATTAAGAGTCTAAGTTCATTATTAATTATTAATTTATTGAAGTTTTAACATCATTATTAATTTATAAAGGTTAAAAAAAAAATATGGATGATCACTTACCAATCGTGGCCACCGATTTGAAAAACCTCGCTACAAACCCTCCGTTCATTGATCTTTGAAAAATTATCAATCTTACAAAAATTTATCCCAAATAGTTCAGAAGGTTTTGGTCCTAAAATAAGGGAAAATAAATGAATCAAATAATATGCTGCGAAATCACATGATAATACCGCAAAAAAACGACAAAAATGTGAATCATTTCATTTGAGAAGATAACATTTGAAGGATAAAATCAACATGCTTCGTACGTGCAACTAAACTACATTCATGAAAAACTAACATGCAAAACATACCAAAATCATCGTCATCATTGTCAATATCCAAGTATGGGGGCGACGATGAAGGAGTACTAGTCTTCACTTGATCGGAGGACTGCCACTTCACGAGCGTTAATTCTGATTGACTTCTTTGTTCATTTGGATTCTCTTCCACCGATCTTCCTGCTCCAGAATCTTCATTTGTATACTCTGACATTCCTCTTGAAGATAATTTCTCTTTCAGACTTAGTTCTCAAAAAAAAAAAAAAAATTCTCTTTCAGACTTAAATGCATTTGGTCAAAATAACTATACAAATTTTCAGAATTGAGCAGATATATATCAGTTCTTAAACTGTTTTTTATGGCAACTTATATCAGCAATAAAGACGGTCAATGTTTTTTTTTACTGTAATAATATGTACTTCCTAAATCTTAATAATTACCAAAACCAAGAATCATAGCTGATGTGGATCAGGATAATCTGTTTAAACCAATCAACATCAGAAGTGAGTCATATGTACGTATCCTGAGTCCGGACTTTGATTTGCTGGATTCGTACACTGCATCATCAACATCAGAACGTATGCATATATCACTACAAGAAAAAAATTAATATTGTGAAACTATGATCATGTAGTATTTGGTTTTAGGCAAGAAACTATGACAACTTGTCGTCTCTTTGTAAGATTCTTGTGATGTTAAACTCATGGGACAAATATGCCTAAACTTACAGGACACATAGGCCTGAAATTTCAAAGGCGAAGCTTGGCAGTTTCAAGGATACAACTTGCTTACATTTGTTTTAAGGGTATGTGGACTTATACACCCTCTTTATCAAACTTATAGATGATAGAGATACCAAACGCAAACCCATGGGAAGCTGGTGAGAATATGGGTAATGCTCTGCAATCAATGATATTCTTTTTGCAGTAAGTTTTTCTGTATAGTATATAGTAATAGAATGTTGCTAGACAAACTATAGTATGGTAATTATCATGAAGGTATTGAGCCAACAATATAATGATACAGGTACAAGGGATGGGATGGAGTCCATGACAACCGATGTGAAAAAGTTTGAACAAGCACAAAGTTGCATTTCTCCAATTCGGATACTTCAGCAAATGTAGCACGCCACATTAGTGTTTCTTGGGGATAAGCAGGATAAAACTGATGTAACTCGAGTGATATGTTGATTTTTCTTTGGGTTAATGTTTCTCTTTCAGAACTATGTAAAACCAGATTTTATTTGATTAATAGAAAATTTATGTTAGTTACGTTTTGTTGTAGTTTTTTTTTTTTGCCCCATTAATATCTATTTATTGAATTGATGAAATGTAATCACAATGAAGAGTATCAGAAATAAATCTAGGAACAAGATCGTAATAAACTAATATATTGCTGCTGGTAATCTTCGTTGTAGTTAATTTACTTTTTTTGTTTGGTTAATAAATCGGTTTTTTTTGTAACATCTGAAACTTTATTAAATGGTGAAAGGAGCATACAAATATTTAACCAACCATTGACGTGGGCTTACATATAACATAAAGTACTCTACAGAATCATAAATACATTTGGAAAGTAGATCTGCTGAATAAGTAGAAAAGCCAATTAAAGGTAATTTTGTTTTACGTCGGTTGTGTAACTGACACGAATAAAAGTCTGGCTTTTGCGTCAAATTAATACTGACGCTAAACCAATATAAACTGATGCAATTTTTGTGACGTTAAACTTTACGTCGTTTGATTAAGTGAGGCTAATATATTTCGCGTCATGCAATATTACGACACTTTCAAAACCGACGTCATTTCTTTTGTGTCACTTTTTTACCGACGTTAAGTACAATATTAAACAACGTTATAAGCCGCTTATGGTGTAGTGTATATGTGTTTAAGTAACTCTCATGTTTAATTTGTCTCCATTTAGCTTAATAAGAGGAAGAAATGAAGATGAGACAAAAAAATGGAGAACGAAACAAAAAAAGAAACCTAATTTTTCTTTAATTGATTAATTTCATTTAAGGTTTCAAATTTATTAAATAGATTTTTTCAAACAAATTCTGTGTAAGAAGTAAGAACCACATGAAAGAGATATTAACTTTTTTTTATTAAATAACTAATTTTGTGATTGTTTCTTTTAAGAAGATATATAAATTAGTTTGTATGGCAAAAAAAAGTATTTATTAGTTGTAATGTTAAACTAAACATTTAGTACCTAAAGAACTTAGTAAAAGACTAATATGATTAGTTTACTTAAGTTAGTTTGTGTAGTAAAGGAGTATTTATGATTTATTAAATATTCTTTTATCTAATTTAAATGAAAGAGCTTTTATAGTTTGTACTTAACTCTTTAAAATATGTTGTGTTAATCATGCGGAAAGTTTTTTTATAGATAAATTAATTAATTGTAGCTTATTAATAATTTAAATTATAAGTAAATTTTAATAGTGAATCCACAAAAATATGTAGGAGACAAGAAAGTAGTTGAGATGATTATGGCAAATCACCAATGAATTATCTAAAAGGAGAATAATGAAGTGAGACAACTGAATGAGTTTTTTGTCTTCATCTTTGTATTAATTGTTTGTTAAAATAGTGTTACAAAAAAAAAAAAAAGAAGCTGATAGTTTTCAAATTTAGAAATAACGGATTTTATTAGTTTTAGGAGAAAGTGAATGACTACATGTTGGTTCTTACATTTAGAAGATTTGAAATTTTTGATTATATTTTTCCCTAGCCGAAAACTTTATAGTTAGATGACAAATACATTTATCCTTATGAGTTCATTCTCTTCCTCTAAGCTAGTGGATAAAATTTCAGTTAGTGAGCCTTGCCAATATAAATGTATTTTTCTGCTTTAAGTTGAGTTAAAGACATTCATTAAACCTAAGCAACCAAGTTTATTTGTTTATCTTTTGCATTGATAATAGCATAGAAAGTTATTTTCTTTTTAAAATCTCGCACTAAAATATTGATGATGGTTATTTTAGATATACCAACAAAAAATAGATATTTTAGTACTGGTTATTCCTGAACCGTTGGTATACGCTACTCCATCAAATCCTACTCGTCTTCAAGGAGATCGTTGATGATTCCAATGTGAGGGTACTCGTCGTCAGTCACTAAACTATGTGCTGTTCTCCCAAACTGATCACTGATGATGCGTGTGTTGCAAGGGTTCGTTCCATGATTCCCACTGATGGCAGTTGTTGTTGTGTCTTTGTTTGAACTTGAACCACAGGTCCACAAGAGCCCACCAGACGAAACCTCATCCCAAGAGCCAAAGTTGATAGGTAAAGCGGACTGATTAGATACTGACACAGGAAGCGGATGTGAATAAGGAGGCAATTTGCTTGTAACGGTCGGTTGAGAGCTTGAGTTGTAGATACCAGATGAACTCACCATGGCATGTTGGTAGGACTGAGGAATGTAAGTTTGGTTATGTGGTGGTGAACCTATATGGCATGTTGATCTCATTGAACGAGAAAATGACAATGTGGAGGTTTGAACAGCAGATACTATAGGAGAAGTTTGCTTCCGAGAGATTATAGGAGCACTCACAGTCACAGGTCTTGACATGGATTGTACTGGTTGTGCCGCCGGTTTTGGAGAAGCAGTTTTCTTTATATCTGCTTCAGAAACCACAGTCTGCAACTGAATGTCTCCAGATGATGATGATGAAGGTACTGCTTTTCTTTCTGGAACAACATCCTTTGTCTCCGGTTTTGGAGAAGGAGTTTTCTTTATATCTGCTTCAGAAACCGCAGTCTGCAACTGAATGTCTCCAGATGATGATGATGGAGGTACTGCTTTTCTTTCTGGAACAACATCCTTTGTCTCCGGTTTTGGAGAAGGAGTTTTCTTTATATCTGCTTCAGAAACCACAATCTGCAACTGAATGTCTCCAGATGATGATGATGAAGGTACTGCTTTTCTTTTTGGTACAACATCATTTGTCTCCGGTATTGGTTGTTCTAAAGAAGGGCATTGATTCTTAGGGTCAAATTCATCTTTCTCAGTAAAGCTTTCTTCTGCTTGGGTCCTCACGGATTCTTCTTTCTTTTTTGCCTTTCCTTTGTTCTTTTTCTGTTTTAGCCAAACCACAAAGAATCTCAATTAGCACCTTGAACAGATTATTTTACGGCATTATAGAAAGCAATAGAAGTGTAAAAAGACCTTTTTCTTCTTAGATTTCTTCTCCTTTTCTGCTGCTCCTCTTTTGGCCTTACGTTCTCTTTCTACTAGCAAGGCTTCCTCTTCTTCGCGAATTAGGTCTTCTTGCCTTGTCCATGCAACAGCTTCTTGGTACGGTCTTTCAATCTTGTTTCTGCATTTCTCAGAAAGATTGCAATGCACAATACATTAGTACCACTAAAAACACAAAGTTACATATTACCAGATGACAGAAATAAAAAGTAAACACTATCACTGTCAATGCCAGATTTTTCATGCATGCTTTTGGTTTGTACACATAATATGTGCAAATGAAATGATTTCTTTGAAAATTTTAAAACCTAGAGAAAATATCATGCCATCTTACATGAAGAGATGTCCAAGAACAAATCTCTCTACGGCAAATCTACCCAACTCCGTTAAACGCCTCTCTTCACGCTCCGTGGCCTCGTTATCGACTGCATATCTAGCATTCTCATCCTAGATTCGGATGGAAGAATAAAAAATGATATTAATAATACAAGTAACGCCAAACTTCAAGCATCTTCACATGAATAAAAAATAAATAAAACAATGCACCAACCAAATCATTAAATTTCAATCAGTCAAATTCTTAACCTAAGAAACTAACCTTTGTAGGGGTTTGAGAACCTTTATCATCTTCTGGAAGAGATGGCTCAAGGGCAGCCCTCTCAAGAAGTAACACAAAATCATCAACTAATACAAACATATCTCCGTCCATACGAACCATTGGAGCTGGCAAGTCTTCGGTATCGGTTACTCTTGGCCTAGTTTTAGTTTGACCTTCAAGAGCCAGAGACTTCAACCCACTATAAAAGGCATCCATCAATAAAGTGGATGTAACCTCATTCTCGTCGAAGAAGATTGTTACAAGTTGTTCGTGAATCACATCCCTTCTCTCTCGAGACATCTCACGCTTAAAATTCTGGTCCAACCCTAACCAGAAGTCACTAAAGCTGCACCGCAAAAAAATTACAATCCATTTCTTCTTACGCAACCTTTGAGGGAAATATATCATGAGATAGGAAAGGAAAAGTGGCAGATGAATACCCTCTCCATCTTTCTTTGTCCTGATCTATCCACTCAATAATCCTTCTTATTTTGGCCTCCACCAACCGCGAGCAAGTTTGTTCTATATCTTTCAAATACACCCTAACAAGTTCCCTCCTATACTGAATATCAAGGCAGCGAAAAGGTCGATCCACTCTATCTCTGCAAAAAAATAAAAATCAATTTACGAAGATTATTCACATGCAAAAAAAAACTATTCAATGCAAGCAAAAAAAAAAAAAAAAAAAAAAACATTTAATTGCAATTGTGAATGGTCAGGGAGTGATATTTTAAACACGTGTGGACGTATATTAACGGGAGTGATGTTTTAACACATGACTTTAGGTAAAATAACTAGATTTTGCATTTACCTGATCACCTGAACTTGAGACGTAATTAAAAGAGAGCCAGAATCATCCAAGTAACCGTCCTGTAATTTAGGTAACTCTATAAACTCTGGCCATCCCCAAATCCGCATTCTATTACAGAACCGGTGTAATTTATCTGTGAAAGAAATATAATCAATATGTCTGTGTAATGGGATGTAGCGAAACTAAAAGATGTCAGAAGGTAACCTCTATGCTTTGATTTCTTTGGATCAGCAGTGTTTACCAAAGCTACAGTAAACTGAGCAAAATGATTCCAACCTGTCTCAAAGATATCAGCGGAACCCAAACGATAAAGTTTACAGTCTGAGAGAGTGGCTCTAAACGGACAACAATACTCACCTGGACGAAGATTATCATAGTTTGCAGCACAGAGTAACACAGAGAGATTGTTGTCACAACCTTTTGGAAAAATCAAGATATACCTGCCATCACATGAATATGAAATATTTTAGCATGCATATATAAGGGATAATAAGTAAAATATAAACTCAAAAAATAAGTAAAGAAAAAAGTAAAATTGTATGAAATTATTAGCATCTGTTATATGTACTAGAAAACTAATTAAGAGAATCGTGTAAGCATTCTTAATCTTATTTTATTCACTATCACGTCTGATATGTCTAGTAATTAATTAAAAGTGTAAATATATTATATGGAGGGAGACAACAAAAAAAAAGCCATCATTTACCAATGGTAGCCACCGACTTCAAAAACATCGCTACGAAGTTCCTGTTCATCGTTGATCTCTGAAAATTTCTCAATCTTCCAAGTATGTCTCCCAAATAGTTCAGAAGGTTTTGGTCCTATGAATAACGGAAACAATCGAATAAAATACCCGAAAAAGCTACAAAAAGGCTAGTCATATGAGAATATTATCACATTTAAAGAATATGAAAGCCTCATTCTCATGCAAGTCAACAACATTCACGAGAAAGTAACATGCAAGAACACATACCAATATCATCATCATCATCAATGCCCCAGTTTGGGGATGACGTCGTCAGAGGAGTACAACTCTCGACTTGATCAGACGAATAACTCTCCGCGAGAGCTTCTTCTGATTGACTTCTTTGTCCATTTGAACTGCCATCCGCAGATCTTCCGGCTCCGGAATCTTCATTAGTAGTCTCGGACATTCCTTAAGCTGATCACTCTTGTAAACTACGCATATTTAATAATTAAGCAGATAAATTAGATCCTAAACCGTTTATTTGGTAGCTGATATAAAGATTGAACAAGCTCGATATTGGTTTGTTGGTTTTTTTTTTTCATCATATTATTGTAAACTCATTCAACTGTCAAAACCAAGAAGTGGATCAGGATGAACTATTTAAATAAGTCACTCACAAAATCGAAAAATCTAATTGAAATCATTCACCCACTCACAGGAATGAACAAGCTCGATGTTGGTTTTTTATTTTTCCATCAAATTATTATGTATCCTCATACAATTGTCAAAACCAAGAAGTGGATCAGGATGAACTCTTTAAACAAGTCACTCACAAAATCGAAAAATCTAATTAAAATCATTCACTCACTCACAGGAACCTGACGATTCCATGGGTCAAATTAATAATACACTAAACCCACCCCATGATAAACCTTACAAAAACATACCTCCAGAATTACACCCAAGTGCTAACAAAACATAAAACTCGAAAAAAGCTAATTAAGAAGAAGCTATCAGCCACCCCATTAACCAAAGCTAGACAAACTAAAGCCAGGATTGAAGAACCGAAATCTAATCATCGGAAAAGGAAAGCGAAATTGAACCTGTGGTTTAATGGAAGCTCCCCCAAACTTTTAGAGAGAGAGAGAGAGATAAGAAATCAGTCAATCACAGCCAAATATAATTTTGTCATTAGATTTTTTACGAAGCAATAAATCAGTTTATATGGTAAGAAAGTATTTCTGATTTGTTTTAAATCTAATTTGAAAGATTTATTACCTAAATAACTAATTGACTATATCATTCATTTTACGAGAAAAAACAAACTAAAAGACTATATATAGTTAATCAATCTAAAAAGTATATATGATTTGTAAATTATTTTAACTATTACGCTGAAAATTGTTTATGATTACTGATTTGTAACTTTTCAGTAATTTAAATTATATGTAAAATTTAATTGTGAATGCACAAATATTCGGTAAAAGACAAGAAAGTAGTTAATATAATTAGAAAAAATCACCAACGAGTTATGTAAGAGGAGAATATCGATGAGAGACAACTCCAAAAAAGTTTCGCATATTGTTCTTTATTTATATTATGTATATTCTTTATGTATCAAAATGATGTTTTCCGGTTTACATATGTAAAAATGTATATTTCTGTTTATTTGAGTTAAAGACGTCCATCAAACCTAAGCAAGCACAATATGTTTTTTTCTTATTTTTGGTTTAAATGTAAAATTAAGTTATCAATCCAAGAAAAATGTTTACGCAAACAAGAGATAAGTGGTACTCCCGGGACCCGTGATGATGTAAAGAGACCCATGAGCTCGAAACCCTCGTTGCAGAGATTCCGAAGCTTAGGCTTCTCGATCGAAGTATCGAACGGAGACAATGCGATTACGTACCGTCTTCTCAATCACACGTATGAGCTGGTTCACTTGACATGGGGATAAAATTAGTTGCCCTACCAACAAAATTTAAAATTTCACTAAACTTGAGCAAGAAAATGTATATTTGCATTGATATTAGTATACTATTTTCATTGTTAAATCTCGCACTAAAACATTGATGATACATGGTTAATCTTTAGAACTATAAATAGATGTACCGTGTACGGCTCCAAAATAACTTCATTAGTCAAGTTAAACATAGTATCATAACATCAATAACAGTTCGAGGCCAGTGGTAATATCTGATCTGAGATCTGACATTATTTATGATATGTAATTAAACATAATTTAAATTGTATTCATACTTTAATAATGAATACAAAACAAAAAGTACCTAATAAAATCTATGAAAAACAAGTAAATAGTTAAGATAACTAAGGCAAATCGCCAATGAATTGTAAAATATTACAATGCATGTTTTAAGATTACAATCATCACTCTTTTGACCTCACAATCATCACTCTTTTAAGATTTTCCATGCACGAACTCAGTTCCATAACCTGAAGCTTTTGAAACCGTTGCTTTCTGAAGAAAAATCCGGGTTTGATGATGAGCGTCCTAAGCTACAGTAAGAGAACTTGCTTACTGATGCTAATGCTGCATCGTTTTGGTTCCTCATCGCCAGTAAAGACATGTCCATCTTGGCCATCTGCCGTTATGTATGTGCCAGCTCATCCATTTGCCAATACGAATACAACGAAAAATGTGGCATAGACTCTTCACTATAACGTCGTGAGCTCCCAACATCCGCGGTGCCATGATAAGAGTTCTGGTTGTTGTTACCATAACCATAATCATCTTCACGGAGACCATTCCCAAACTGAATATTGTTGGTAGTTACCGGTGTGTTGGAAGGGTTGGTTCGATGATTCCCACTGGTGGCAGTTGTTGTTGTTGTGTCTCTGTTTGAACTCCAACCACCGGTCCACAAGAGCCCACAAGATGAAAGATCCCAAGAGCTAATGTTGATAGGGAAACTAGACTGACTAGATACCGAGATAGGAGGCTGATGTGAATAATGCGGCAATGTGCTTGTTAACGTCGGTTGAGAGCTTGACTGGTTGAAACCAGATGAACCCAATATGGGATGTTTATAGGACTGAGGAGTGTAAGTTTGGCTATGTGGCGGTGAACCTAAACGGCCTGCTGAGCTCATTGAAGGAGCAAATGACCATGTCGAGGTTTGAACAGCAGATATTACAGGTGCAGCTTGGTTTGGAGGGATTACAGGAGTACTCACAGGTCTAGACATTGATTGTACAGGTTGTGCCGCAAGTTTTGGAGAAGCAGTCTTGTGTATATCGGCTCTAGGAACCACAGTTTGCAATTGAATCTCTCCAGATGATGATGGTTGACCTGATGGAGGTAATCTAGGAGATACTAGTTTCCAAACAAACTTCTTTTCCGGAGCAGCTTGCTTCCGGAGCAGCTTTCTCACAGTCACAGGTCTGGAAATGGATTGTACTGGTTGTGCCGCCGGTTTTGGAGAAGCAGTTTTCTGTATATCGACTCTTGGAACCACAGTCTGCAACTGAGTATCTGGAGATGATGATGATGATGATGAAGGTACTTCTTTTCTTTTTGGAACAACATCCTCTTTCTCCGGTTTTGGAGAAGCAGTTTTCTGTATATAGACTCTTGGATGCAACTGAATACCCGGAGATGATGATGATGAAGGTACCTCGTTTCTTTTTGGAACACCATCCTTTGTCTCCGGTTTTGGAGAAGCAGTTTTCTGTATATCGACTCTTGGAACCACAGTCTCCAACTGAATATCTGGAGATGATGATGATGATGATGAAGTTACTGCTTTTCCTTTTGGAACAACATCTTTTGTCTCCGGTTTTGCTTGCTCTAAAGAATGGTGTTGATTCTTAGGGTCAGAATCCTCTTTCTCAAGAATCCTTTCTTCTGCTTGGGTCCTCACCGTGTCTCCTTTCTTTTCTACCTTCCCTTTGTTCTTTTTCTGTTTCTCCTATGAATTACCAAACCACAAAGAATCTCCATTAGCCCCTTGAACAAGTTATGTTAGGGCATTATATACTTTGAAATCCAGGCAACAGAAGTGTAAAAATACCTTCTTCTTCTTAGATTTCTTCTCTTTTTTGGCCTTCTGTTCGATTTTTTCTTCCTCTTCTTCTAGAATAAGCAATTCTTGCCTTCTCCGTATAAGATCTTCTCGGTATGCCATATTGAGAGGCATCTAATTGAGAGGGGTAAACGGACTATAGAAGTAGTTGCTTTTTGCCATATGAATCTTGTTGCTGCATTTTTCAAGCATGTTTGCGGTTGCAAGCAAAATATGAGCTCATCATCAATTTATTTTTATTTGAAATCTCAAACTTAGGAGACAAATGATGGAATCTTACACGTAGATATGACCAAAAGCAACTACTTCTATAGTCCGTTTACCCCTCTCAATTAGATGCCTCTCAACATCTTTTATGGTTTCATCATCGTATACACCTCTAGCATTCCCATCCTACATTCGGATGAAGAAAAAAAAAATTAATAGACAAGAAGCATTATTACATGGATAGGAAAAACAAAAACAAAAAATCAATTTACCAACAAATCATTAAATTTTAACGTATAACGGAAGAAACTAACCCTTGTGGTTTTTTGATGACCTATTTCATCTTTTTGAGCGAATGGCTCCAAACAAAACCTCTGTATGAGTGACATCACATCATCAGCCAATACAAACATATCTTCCTCCACAGTAACCATTGGAGCTGGCGATACGTCCGTATCCGTTTGGCCTTCAAGAGCCTTCAAACCACTATAGAAGAACTCCATCACAAAAGCGGATGTGATTTTGTCCTCGAAGAAGAAGGATTTAACAACTTCTTTTAGAATCACGTCCCTTTTCGCCCGAGACAACTGACGCCTTGAGTTTTGGTCCAACCTTGACCAGAAGGCACCAAAGCTTCACACGAAAACAAACAACACATTACTTGTTACGCAAATTGCTCAAACTTAATCTAGAGAAGTTGAGTGTAAATGTGGAGTACCTGTTCCAGTTTAGCTTGTCCTCTGTCACTTTGATAAGCCCTCTTCTATAATCTTCCACAAACCACAGTAAAGGTAGATCTACATCTGGCTTAAACACCGTAGCAAGTTCCCTCCTATACTCATAATCAAGGCAACGCCAAGGTCGATCCACCCTCTCTCTGAAAGAATATATTTACGCAAATTATTCTCATGCAAAGAAACAAAAATACAATATAAGTATAACCTCTTTACATGACTTTAATTAGTTAAATTCAATATTGTATTTTTGATTACCTGATCACCTGAATCTGAACTCCAATTAAAAGAGAATCAGAATCATATATGAACCCTTCATGTAATTTAGGCAACTCTATAAACTCATTCCATCCCCGAGCAGTCGCGTTCTTCCTAAACCGAAATATTAAATCTGCAAACAAAAATATATATATTTAGTATGTCTGTGTAATTAAATTAGATGCAGTAAAAGTTAAAAGATGCCAGAAAGTGATTAACCTGCATGCTTCGATTTCTTTGGATCTAATTTATTCACCAGAGATACAGTAAATTGAGCCAAATGACTCCAGCCTGTGCAAATATAATCTTTAGAGCCCAAATGAGAAATTTTATATAGAGCTCGAGAGAGAGAGGGAAGCTAAATCGGACAACAATACTCACCTGGAAGAAGATCTTCAGAGTCTGCGACACAGAGAAACAAAGAGAGATGCTTGGAACTGGAAGCATCACGACCTTGTAAATAAACTACGATAAACCTGCGAATGCCATTAGAGAAATATAAAATATTTTAGCATGCATATGGAAAACTAGGCGACTACGTTCAGGGGCGGAGCTAGAAATAATTTTCAAGGGGGTCATATTTAATTTAAATATTAATTAATTTCATGTATTTAAAGTAAAAATTGTAACAAAAAAGTAGGAATCAAGGAGAGATAAGAATTTTAGTCTGAATGACCCATAGAATTGAATAGTAAGCAAAACAAGGCAATGGCAAAGAATGGACACGACAAAATTATTAAGTAGAAATAAGTATATAACATTGCTTTATGGGTGCAAAAACCGATTATAATCAAAATCACCAGGGTCAATTAAGAGAAATCAGACCAGTTGACCACAACAATCACATAACACATGGGCTTATTAACAAAATTTTAGAAATCGGTGAGGGTCATCTGACCCCCTTCCCACTACCGTGCCTCTGCCCCTAACTACGTTTAATGATTACAGGAATTTCAATATTGTTATCATGGCAATCTATTAAATAGAAAATGGCCTTATTATTAAGAGTCTAAATTCATTATTAATTATTAATTATTAATTTATTGAAGTTTTAACATCATTATTATTAAGTTATATAAAGGTTAAAAAAAAAAATATGGATCACTTACCAATCGTGGCCACCGATTTGAAAAACCTCGCTACAAACCCTCCGTTCATTGATCTTTGAAACATTATCAATCTTACAAAAAATTCTCCCAAATAGTTCAGAAGGTTTTGGTCCTAAAATGAGGAAAATAAATAAATCAAATAAAATGCCGCAAAAACACATGGTAATATCGCAAAAAAAAAAAAAACTACAAAAAAGTGAAATATTTGAGAATATAACAATGAAAGGGTAAAATCAACATGCTTCGTGCAACTAAACTACATTCATGAAAAAAACTAACATGCAAAACATACCAAAATCATGGTCAATGTCCATGTATGGGGGCGACGATGAAGGAGTACTAGTCTTCACTTGATCGGAGGACTGCCACTTCACGAGCGTTAATTCTGATTGACTTCTTTGTTCATTTGGATTCTCTTCCACCAATCTTCCTGCTCCAGAATCTTCATTTGTAGACTCTGACATTCCTCTTGAAGCTAATCTCTCTTTCAGACCACACAGATTTAAATGCCTTTGGTCCAAATAACTATACAAATTTTTAGAATTTAGCAGATATAAATCAGTTCTTAAACTCTTTTATATGGCAACTGATATCAGCAATAAAGACAGTCAATGTTTTTTTGACTGTAATAATATGTACTTCCATAATCTTAATAATTACCAAAACCAAGAACTATAGCTGATGTGGATCAGGATAAACTGTTTAAACCAATTAACATCAAAAGTGAGTCATATGTACGCTATCCGGAGCCGGACTTTGATTTTCTGGATTCGTTCGCTGCATCATCAACATCAGAACGTATGCATATATCACTACAAGAATAAAAGAATATTGTGAACGAAAATTTGTAACAAATTATTTTGTTATAATATTGTGACAGAATTATTTGCTCATAAAAATGGAACATTTTCGTTATAATATTGTGACTGAAAGGAACGTAGCAAACATTTGTTGCTAATTGTGACGAATAAGACAAATATTGTTACAGTTTTCCGACGAAATCTAGTAACTAGTTTAATACGATTTTCGTAAACAATTTATGTCACTCATAGTTACAAAAAAAAGTGGTAGGTATCTCGTCATAATTAGTTACTGTTTTAGTGACCTTTAGGTTTTAGTCATAGACTAGGAGAGAACCCGCGCAATGCGCGGGTTTATTAAACCAAATATTTTTAATTTAATTATTCAGAACATTAGATTCGAATATATCATTTGTTTTTTACTCGAATATATTAGATTCTGTAAGTTTTGCATTTTGTTTTTTTTCATATAGTTTTAAAATTTAGTTGTTATTTACGTGAAATCTTATATAGACTCATAGTGAATAGTTTCATATGTTTTTTGTTCTTTTATACAATAATTTATCGACTGGAGTTGAGTTCTTCTAATTTTCCTTATACTAACAATCATTATAGATTGATTATTATCCTACAGACTCATAGATAATAATAATTGCAATCCTTTTTAAAAGGAAATGAAATGAGCTAATTAGCCAGTAAGCCCATTTAAAGCTACCATGGAAACGAAGAGGTCCGATAAATAATCAAGCCCATCAAAACGAACAGCATTACACATAATTTTGATTTAGATTTTTTTTTTTTTTTAATACGAAAACGACGTCGTTTTGGTGTAAGACGAAAAAAAAAAAGCGCAAAACGACGTCGTTTTGGTGTAAGACGAAAAAAAAAAAAACGACGTCGTTTTGGTGTTAGGCGAAAAAAAAAAAAAAAAAAAGTGCCACGTGTCAAAGGCTGGAGAGTGTCCAACATTACACATAATTTTGATTTACATTTTTTTTTTACGAAAACGACGTCGTTTTGGTGTAAGACGAAAAAAAAAGATAAAGCACAAAACGACGTCGTTTTGGTGTTAGGCGAAAAAAAAGAGAGAATGTCACGTGTCGAAGGCTGGAAAGTGTCCAAACCTTATTAGTTATGTAGATTGTGACTTAGTTGAAACTATTTTATGAACAATATCAAAAACAAAATATTATTACAGATTTCCGACGAAATCTGTAACTAAATTAATACGATTTTGGTATAAAATTTATGTCACTCATAGTTACAAAAAAACTGGTAGGTATTTGTCACAATTAGTTATTGTTTTAGTGACCTTTAGGTTTAGTTATAGATTGTGACTTAATTGAAACTACTTTGTGAACAAGCTTAAAAACAAATATTGTTACAGCTTTCCGACGAAATCTGGTAACTAAATAAATACAATTTTGGTATAAAATTTATGTTTCATAGTTACAAAAAATTGGTAGGTATCTCGTCACAATTAGTTATCATTTTAGTGACCATTAGGTTTAGGTATAGATTGTGATTTAATTGAAATTACTTTGTGAACAAGATTAAAACATATGAAGACATTCACTAATTAAATAAAATAATAGCTTCAATTATGGAAACACAAACAAAAATCTGGAAAATAATAGAGACAACATAATAAAGTGCCAAGAAAATTATTCAGAATCATCAATGGTTAGTTTGATATCAGAGTTTATATCTTCAATATATGATCCAGTTTCTGCTTCTACTTATGTATTATCAAAGATCTTCTTGTGTTAGTGTCTAGACGTTCACTGCATCAGTCTGAACAATAAATACTTCATTTTCATGTTGCATTGCACTGAAATCCAAATTTTGGTGTACCAATATTTTCCCCCTTGGTGGTTTCACAATGCCTCCTTTTCAATGTTGATTGTTTTTTGGTTGTATTTTCCGTGGATATGGAACATAACTTACTTGATCTTGATCTGCTTATAAAGGTAAAACAAAGGGATCATATTTCCTATAACGCCATTTATCATTGATATCAATGATCCATGGCTTGTTTATTAGTATACCTTTCCTCTTTGTTGTAAGTTTGAATAGTCTTCTCTTTTGCTAAGAACCCAACTAAATATGCATGTTAACAAAAACAAATTAATCAAACTTTTAATTCAAAAAACACAGAACAAAAGTTGTGAAAAATATTTCAGTCTGGTTGATATTATGCTTTCGGAAACGTAGCTGTCTGGAATGTAACTGACTACGAATTGTACAGGGATCGCTATCCAATTCCTCACGTTTACTTGTATAATGAGAAGAATGTATAAAATAACTTTTATTAGATGTATCTACACCTTAGTTTTTCCAAGAAATTAATTGTTCATAAATTTAAATATAACACAACTTGCATATTATAAGCAAATTTTAATAGTGAATCCACAAAAGTATGTAAAAGACAAGAAAGTAGTTGAGATGATTATGGCAAATCACCAATGAATTATCTAAAAGGAGAGTAATGAAGTGAGACAACTGAGTGCTTTTTTTCTTCTTCATCTTTGTATCAATTGATTGGTTAAAAACTTAAAATAGTGTTACAAAAAAAAAAAAAAAGCTGATAGTTGTCAAATTTAGAAAGGGAAATTGCACTGAATGACAGTATTAGGAGGTATAATTAAGGTAATGACAATAGGAAATACATGTCTAGAATACAGGGTGTATATTCTAACTTATTCCCAAGTCCTTCTCTGAGAATTTCAAATTATTTTGAAAAATATGTTACTTCAAAAAAACATGTTTCTCTCTCTCTCTCTCTGGAAACCTAAAAACCCACCAACCAAACTTTTTTCAGATCCGCCGCCTCCTCGGTTGCTCGGCATTTCTCGTCGTTGCTCTTTCTTCTCCTTCATCTTTTCCTCTTTCTGCTCTTTGTGTCGTCTTCCGGTGGCTCTATTTCTGGCGGCATCGCTTCTTCGGCTTTTGAGTCACTGTTTGGACTCTGTCGTTCTCCGGCGTTCCTGTGTGGTGGCTTGACTCGGGGAGGCGTGTTGTGGCTTGACTCGGGAAGGCGTGTGGCTCCGGTGAGGTTTTCAGTTGTCTCTCCGTCTATGCTTTCGTTTGCACGGCAGATTTCGGCGGCTTTCGGCGGAGGTCTTCTGTGTCGTGTAGTTCCGACTAGATCTACGGGGTGTGCATCTTACAGTCCTTTGAAGACGAGTCTCCAGCGCCGGCGATTCAGATCTGCTCCCTCATCCAACTTATCATGCGTGTCATAGTTCTCTGGATTAGAAATAGTGTTAGTTCTTAGTCATTTTATTTTTAGTTGAGTTTCATGAAGTGAATGAGTCTAAATTTTTGTAATTAGAAAGTGATGCAATTTACCAGCAACCAAATTCTGTAATGGAAGCCTTGTAGAATTGCCATGAATTCTATAATTCAAATGTTCATCGAATAATCAGTTATTTAAAGTTATTTGATTTTTCCTCTATTAAATGAGTATGGTAATTGATTGATGAGATTCATCGATTAATGTTGTTACCCATTTTCTTTCTGGGTGTAGTGCGAAGGCTACAAATGAATTCAACTAAAGTAACATCGAGCAAATCTCTTGAAAATGAGTCAAAATCTATATGTACATGCTCTGTGTCTATACTATACATCATGCAATTACACGTTTGTTTTTGTTTTGTTTGATGTTGTTGGAAACTACGAAAAGAGCATGTCATGCTTATGAGAAACATGAGCTTGTGAGCTTAATTCAAGAAATAGGACTATACTATTTGTTATGTTTCCGTCATAGATTGAACGAGAATTAGGGTGAAGAGACATTGGAGAATTAAGGTGAAGAACATTAGAGGGAAAATTCCCGCTTATTTTAGGGAGAAAAGAGAAAAGAGGAAAGAAAGTTTTCTCTTTGTTAGCTTTGAATTTTTTGTTGTAGAATTTATGTTGTAGAAATTTTGGCTGTGATTGTAGATTTTAGTGTTGTAAGATTTTTTATTGTAGATTGTGACATTAAATACAACACTAAAAAAAATAAGATATAGAAATAATAGATTAAAAAATAAATGTTGAAAACATAATAAGGAAAGAGAAAAGAGAAAATTCTAAGGCACTTAATTTTGTGCTTTAGAAAAATTGCTTTCCAAAGTCAAAATTTCCATAAACAAAAAAAATTGCTCTGCATTTCATAAATGAAAAGAGATGAAATGAGAGCTTGATTGGTGATTTTGGATTGCTGTGCAGAGATTTAATGCTCTAAAGAGCAATCACAGCTCCTACCAATCATTCCCATATCTTATACTCCCTCTGTCCCATATTATAAGCTGTTTTGGCATTATGTATCTGCAATTTTTAGGATGTATCTGGATATGTTTCTATCCAATACATCCATAAAATTGCAGATTCATTATGCCAAAATAGCTTATAATATGGGACAGAGGGAGTATATAATTAGGGAGTTGCTCTATCCTTTTAGAGTGTCCACATCAGCAAAAAAAATACAAATTAATTAAATCAAAATTAATGATTCAATTAATACATACACTTTCATAATATCCCTAAAAGATTTATTATTCAACCAAAAATAGAAAAATGTATTAAAAACTAAGATTATCTAAGTGTATATTTATTATCCCTAAAAGATTTGTTCTCAGTTTTTAGTTTTTTACTAATAGCTAAGTGTATATTTACCCACTTAGCTTCACTTTTTCACCTTCGATTAACAAAAATATAAAAGACAAAATTAAATAAAGATTAGTTGAACTTAATATTTAAAATATTAAAAGTTAATTTTTAACAGTAAATGCACGAGATTTGTTTTAAAAGAAAAAATGTACTGAAAATTTAAAATTCATAATAATATATATTATGTAAAAAGATAGTATATGTAATAACATGTAAAATGTATAACTGTTGAAAGCTAACATTTAAATTTAAGTAATAAAAATAAGTTATATATAAAACTAATTATTGGTTTTGATGTTAAAAAAAAGTAAAAAACTAAGGTATTGACTATTCCTAACATTGAAAAAAAAAATCATTTGAATATAAATGATGATGAACAACACAAAGGACAAACATTAAGAGCGTAGTTTGTAAAGAAAAAACACATAAAGAAAAAACATTAAAAGCGTAGTTTGTAAAGTATATAAATGATGATGAACAACCAAAAACATATGCAAATAACCTCGCACTTGCGCGAGGTACAATTCCTAGTTTTATAAATTGCATTGTCATTCTCTTTATTTTAGTCCCCAATGTGGTCACTCACCAAATTAACCCATTTAGAAATAAGGTTTTTTTTTTTTAGTTTTAGGAAAAAATGAATGACTACATACATGTTGGTTCTTACATTTAGAAGTTTTGAAAATATTGATTATATTTTTCCCTAGCCGAAAACTTTATAGTTAGATGACAAATAAACTTATCCTTATGAGTTCGATTCAGTGGATAAAATTTCAATTAGTGAGCCTTGCCAATATAAATGTATTTTTCTGCTTTAGTTGAGGTAAAGACATTCATTAAACCCAAGCAACCAAGTTTATTTGTTTTTTCTTTTGCATTGATAATAGCATAGAAAGTTATTCTTCTTTTTAAAATTTCGCACTAAAACATTGATGATGGTTATTTTAGATATACAAAAACAAAAACAAAATTATTCTTCAAGTAGATCGTTGATGAGACCAAGGTGAGGGTACTCATCAAGACTCTGTGCTTGTGCTCTTCTCCCAAACTGATCATTGATGATGCGTGTGTTGCAAGGGTTCGTTCCATGATTCCCACTGATGGCTGTTGTTGTTGTTGTTGTTGTTGTGTCTTTGTTTGAACCAGAACCACAGGTCCACAAGAGCCCACTAGATAGAACCTCATCCAAAGAGCCAAAGTTGATAGGTAAAGCGGACTGATTAGATACTGATACAAGAGGAGGCGGATGTGAATAAGGCCGCAATGGGCTTGTTACCGTCGGTTGAGAGCTTGAGTTGCCGATACCAGATGAACTCACTATGGCATGTTGGTAGGACTGAGGAATGTAAGTTTGGTTATGTGGCGGTGAACCTATACGGAATGTTGATCTCATTGAATGAGAAAATGACAATGTCGAGGTTTGAACAGCAGATACTACAAGAGCAGCTTGCTTCCGAGGGGTTATAGGAACACTCATAGTCACAGGTCTTGACATGGATTGTACTGGTTGTGCCGCAGGTTTTGGAGAAGCAGTCTTCTGTAGATGGGCTCTAGGAACCACAATTTGCAACTGAATATCTCCAGATGATGATGGTTGACCTGATGAAGAAAATCTAGCAGATACTGGTTTCCAAACCTTTTTCTCAGGCTTCCCGAACAGCTTTCTCACAGTCACAGGTCTGGTTATGGATTGTATTGGTTGTGTCACCGGTTTTGGAGAAGCAGTTTTCTGTATATCGACTCTTGGAACCACAGTCTGCAACTGAATATCTAGAGATGATGATGATGGTGAAGGTACTTCTTTTCTTTTTGGAACAACATCTTTTGTCTCCGGCTTTGGAGAAGCAGTTTTTTGTATGTCTGCTTCAGAAACCCCCGCCTGCAACTGAAACTGAATGTCTGGAGATGATGATACTTCTTTTATTTTTGGAACAACATCCTTTGTCTCCGGTTTTGGAGAAGCAACTTTCTGTATATCGACTCTTGGAACCACAGTGTGCAACTGAATATCTTGAGATGATGATGATGAAGTTACTGTTTTTCCTTTTGGAACAACATCCTTTGTCTCCGATTTTGGAGAAGCAGCTTTCTGTAAATCTGCTTCAGAAACCACCGCCTGCATCTGAATGTCTTGAGATGATGATGATGAAGGTACTTCTTTTCTTTATGGAACAACATCTGTTGTCTCCGGTTTTGGCTGCTCTAAAGAAGGGCATTGATTCTTAGGGTCAAATTCCTCTTTCTCAATAGGCCTTTCTTGTGCTTGGGTCCTCGCCTTGTCTTCTTTCTTTTTTGCCTTTCCTTTGTTCTTTTTCTGTTTCGCCAAACCACAAAGAATCTCCATTAGCACCTTGAACAAAACAAACTATTTTACGGCATTATAGAAAGCAACAGAAGTGTAAAGACACCTTTTTCTTCTTAGATTTCTTCTCCTTTTGTGCTAGCAAGGCTTCCTCTTCTTCACGAATTAGGTTTTCTTGATTTGTATATGCAACAGCCCAGTCGTACATACGTTCAATTTTGTGTCTGCATTTCTCAGAAAGATTGCAATGCACAACACATTAGTACCGCTAAAAACACAAAGACATGTACATTACCAGATGACAGAATAAAAAGAGTAAACACTATCACCACTGTCATTACCAGATCTTTCATGCATGCTTTTGGTTTGTAAACATAATATGTGCAAATGAAATGATTTTTATAGAAATTTTAAACCTATAGAAAAATTATGCCATCTTACGTGAAGATATGTCCAAGAACAAATCTCTCTACGGCCAGTCTACCCAACTCGGCTAAACGCCTCTCATCACGCCTCTCATCACGCTCTGTGGCTTCGTTATCAACTGCATCTCTATCAATCCCATCCTAGATTCGGATGGAAAAATAGAAATGATATTAATAATATAAGTAACGCCAAAATGCACCAACCAAATCATTAAATTTCAATCAGTCAATTCTTAACCTAAGAAACTAACCCTTGTAGGGGTTTGAGAACCGTTATCAACTTCTGGAAGAAATGGCTCAACGGCAGCCCTCTGTAAGAGTAACAGCAAATCATCAGCTAACACAAACTCATCTCCGTCCATACGAACCAGTGGAGCTGGCAAGTCTTCGGTATCGGTTACTCTTGGCCTAGTTTTAGTTTGACCTTCAAGAGCCAGAGCCTTCAACCCACTACAAAAGGCATACATCAATAAAGTGTATGTAAAGTCCTTCGTGTCGAAGACGATTGTTAAGAGTAGTTTGTGAATCTCATCCCTACTCTCTCGAGAGAACCGACGTCTTAAATTTTCGTTCATGTTCGACCAGAAGACACTAAGGCTGCACCGCAAAAATTACAATCCATTTCTTGTTACGCAATTGCTCAAACTTTGAGGAAAATATTTCATGAAAATAGGAAAGGAAAAGTGCAGATGAATACTATCTCCAATATTCTTTGTGCTCTATCCACTTAAGAATCCTTCCTCTTTTGGCTTCCACCATCTGCGAGCAAATTTGCTCTACATTTTTCAAATACACCCTAACAAGTTCCCTCTTATACTGAATATCAAGGCAGCGAAAAGGTCGATCCACTCTATCTCTGCAAAAAAATAAAAATCAATTTACGAAGATTATTCACATGCAAAAAAAAAGAAAGAATCATATATAATAGCAAACCCACTTTTTGTGTCTGCTGATGTCATCATTTTTTTGTAGGAAAAAAAAGGTCTAATCCAACGGTTGATATTGTTTTGATTATGTAATCTAATGGATATGATTCATTTTGTTAAACGGATCTGACGTCATCATCAATATATTAAAAGAAACGACGTCTCTTTCTCTTCCTTCCTCGAATCAACGCTTCTAGAAAACCTGCAAATCCAGAGTCGCATCTTTTTACCAACAGTCGCCTCTTTTCATCATCGTCATTGCTGCTTCAATATACTATATATAGATTCCTCCACTAAAATAACAAACGCGTCTTGCATCCTAGATATCTCCTTTATCCGATTTCACCGTTGTCAAATCGCATAAGTCATCTGTTTTCCGATCATCCGACGCTCTCAATTTTTCTCTCGCCTTCTCTCTTTTTAGGATAACTCTATTTCTGTCTTGCTGGAGTCGGCGTGAAGTTTTCATCAACGAATATCTGTATGCACAAGTAATGTGGCTGAATCATAGTTGAGAATTTGATTACAACGTTTCCTTTGCTTCCTTCCCATATCAACACTTCTCCGAAACAACACACCTTTTCACAAGCGCAAAGTTTCAGATTAAATCTCATTGATGATATGGTGGGATCCCTGAATAGCATGACGGAACGAATGGATGCAAAAGAGAAAGATATATGGTGCTCTCATCGACAACCTCCTTAGTTCAAAAACTCATCATATTGGGGCTTTATTCTCGGCCATATCGAGACAACGGGATGGTGATGATATGATTGCAAAGCAAGGAGGCATTATATGGGCTTCACTTCCACGTTAAGATGAATAAATATTTAAAACACAGGGGCATTATGTGATGTCGTTTCTCGGCTAAAAGACTAAGCATACACTTTTTGGTCAGCAAAATGTTCTCTTTGTTATGGAACGAAAAAAAAATGTTTTCCCTTTTGTTAACGAGAACAATGTGGAGGCAAAGACACAAATTTCTATCGCTAGATGGGGAAAATTGTAAGCAACATGTTCTCTTTCTATCTCTTAATTTCTCTCTTGTTCTTGTTCTTAATGTTTAATCTGATTTTTTCTCCTCTTTGAATTTTTGTTTGTAGAACAAAAATAATTGAGGGGACTGAGTATTACTCCAAAAGTGATGTGACCGTGTTAGGTTTCAAGAAGGCATTTTCGTTAGAGAGAAGAAAAATGAGTTTTAAAACACTTGGTATTGGCGGAATGGCTCTGAATTTAGACACATTTATCACTTCAACCAGGTAAAAAAAATTGTGAACTTTTTAAATTATGAACTGCAAATATAGCTTTTCGTATTGGCTTTCATCAATTATGCAAGAACTTGGCTGTAAAGAGCAGGATATCATTTTCACTTCAAGCTATTGTATATCTTAGTTACTCCATTCTTATAAATAAAAACCCTTGGTTATAAACTTCAAATATGCTCTTACAAAATGGACATTCTAATATAATAATGTAAATTAACCGAGAATGAATCATATAATTCATATTATATATTTTTTAAATATATGTATATATATAAATAAAAAATGCTATCTAATGTATTTTATAAATACAGATTTAATTTGGCATAAAATATTATTAATTTATTTTAATTTTCTAAAAAGAAATTTAATTGAGCGCGTTGGACGCGCGGGTTTGCTGCCTAGTACATTTAATTGCAATGTGAAAGGTCAGGAAAGCTTTAGGTATATTAACGGGAGTGATGTCAGTTTGAGAGATGACTTTAAGTAAAAAAACTAGATTTTGCATTTACCTGATCACCTGAACTTGAGACGTAATTAAAAGAGAGCCAGAATCATGTAAGTAACCGTCATGTAATTTAGGTAACTCTATAAACGATGTCCATCCGCAAAGGCGCATTTTCTTACAGAACCGGTGTAATTTGTCTGTGAAAGAAATGTGTTCAATATGTCTGTGTAATTGGAATATGGGATGTAGCGAAAGTAAAAGATGTCAAAAGGTAACCTTCACGCTTTGTTTTCTTTAGATCAGCAGTGTTCACCAAATCTACAGTAAACTGAGCAAAATGATTCCAACCTGTCTCAAAGAAAGCAGCGGAACCCTAACAGTAAAGTTTACAGTCTGAGAGAGTGAAGCTCTAAACGGACAACAAGTAAACAACAATACTCACCTGGACGAAGATCATCATAGTTTGCAACGCAGAGAAACACAGGGAGATTGTTGTCACAACCTTGTGGATAAATCATGATAAACCTGCCATCACATTAATATGAAATATTTTAGCAGGCATATATAAGGGATAACGAGTAAAATATAAACTCAGAAAAATAAGTAAAGAAAAATGTAAAATTGTATGAAATTATAAGCATCTGTCTTTATGTATTAGAAAACTAAGAGAATCGTATAAGCATTCTTAATCTTATTTTTCTTTACTATCACGCCTGATATGTTTACTAATTAATTAAACGCCTATATATATGGAGGGAGACAAAAAAAAAAAAAGTCATCATTTACCAGTGGTGGCCACCGATTTCAAAAACATCGCTACGAAGTTCCCGTTCATTGATCTCTGAAAATTTCTCAATCTTCCAAGTATGTCTCCCAAATAGTTCAGAAGGTTTCGGTCCTGTGAATAAGGGCAACAATCGAATCAAATGCCACGAAACACATATTGGTAATACCGCAAAAAGCTACAAAAAGGGCTGGTCATTTGAGAGAATAACATTTAACAACTGTGAAGACTCATTTTCATGCAAGTCAACAACATTCACGAGAACGTAACATGCAAGAACACATACCAATATCATCATCATCATCAATGTCCCAGTTTGGGGGTGACGTAGTCGAAGGAGTACCACTCTCGACTTGATCAGACGAATGCCACTCCGCGAGAGCTCCTTCTGATTGACTTCTTTGTCCATTTGAATTCCCTTCCACTGATCTTCCTGCTCCGGAAACGTCATTAGTAGTCTCGGACATTCTCCTGAAGCTAACCTCTCTTGTAAACTACGCATAATTATTAATTAAGCAGAAAAATTAGATCCTAAATCGTTTATTTGGTAGCTGATATAAAGATTGAAGAAGCTCGATCGATATTGTTTTTGCTTTTGTTTTTTTCATCATATTATTATGTACTCATACAATCGTCAAAACCAAGAAGATCAGGAATCAGGATGGACTCTTTAAACAAGTTCCTCACAAAATCGAAAAATCTAATTAAAATCATTCAATCACTCACAGGAACCTGACGATTTCACGGGTCAAATTAATACTCTAAAGCTACCCCAGGGTAAACCTTACAAAAACATACCTCCAGAATTACACCCAAGTGCTAACAAAAACAAAAAAAAACATAAATCTCGAAAAAAAGCTAATTAAGAAGAAGCTATCAGCCACCGCATTAACCAAAACTAGACAAACTAAAGCCAGGATTGAAGAACGGAAATCTAAGCATCGGGAAAGGAAAGCGAAATCGAACCTGTGGTTTGATGGAAGCTCCCCAAGCTTTTAGAGAGAGAGAGAGAGAGAGAGAGAGAGGAAATCCCAGTCAAATATAATTTTGTCATTAGATTTTTTAGGAACATATATTTATATGGTAAGAAAGTATTTCTGATTTGTTTTAAATCTAATTTCAAAGATTTATTACCTAATTAACTAAATGACTATATCATTCATTTTACGAAAAAAGAGACTAAAAGACTATAGTTAATCAATCCAAAAAGTATTTATGATTTATAAATTATTTTATCTATGACGCTGAAAAATTGTTTATGATTAATGATTGTTACTTTTCAGTAAATTAAATTATGTAAATTTTAATAGTGAATGTACAAAAAATCGGTAAAAGACAAGAAAGTAGTTAAGATAATTAGAGAAAATCACCAACGAGTTATCGATGAGAGACAACAAGTTTCGCATATTGTACTAGTCAAAATTATGTTCTTTATAGGAATGAGTTGATGACTACATAGAAGTTGTTCTTTTTCATTTCGAATTTTAGAATATTTTGATTATATTGTTCTGTCGCCAAAAGATTTATAGTTAGATCGACCACAAGCACCAGATATTATGTTTTTTGTGTGATGAGTTCGACTCTCTTCCTCCAAGCCACTCGGTAAAAATTTCAGTTAGTGAACTTAATTCGTTAGAAATGTATTTTTCTGTTTATTTGAGTTAAAGACGTCAATCAAACCCAAGCAAGCACAATATGTTTTTTTCTTATTTTTGGTTTAAATGTAAAATTAAGTAATCTAACTAAGAAAAATGTTTACGTAGACAAGAAATAAGTGGTATTAAACTGACAGACAAAAACCAATTGATGATCCAAAGAGACTCGTGAGCTCGAAACCATCGTTGTAGAAGATCCCGGAGGTTAGGCTTCTCGACATAGCGAAAGGAGACAATGCGATTACGTACCATCTTCTCAATCACACGTATGAGCTGGTTCACTTGACATGGGGAAACAATTAGTGGCCCTACCAACAAAATTTAAATTTTCACTAAACTTGAGCAAGAAAAAGTGTATTTGCATTGATATTAGTATACTATTTTCCTTGTTAAATCTCGCACTAAAACATTGATGATGGTTGATTTTTAAAACTATAAATGGATGTACGGCTCCAAAATAATTCCATTAGTCAATTTATCATTAAGTAACATCAATAGCGGTTCGAGACTTCGAGACCAGTGGTAATTAATATCTGAAGATCTGACACTGTTTATGATATGTAATTAAACATAATTTAAATTGTAATCATATTTTAATAATGAATGCAAAAGAAAAAGTAAATCATAAAATCTATAAAAAAAAACAAGTAAATAGTTGAGATAACCAAAGCAAATCGCCAATGAATTGTAAAATATTACAATACACATAACCCCTTTAACCCAAAACCTCACTCAGTTCCATAGCCTAAGTTTCTATATTCATTGATTCTTGAAGAAAAATCCGGGTTTGATGATGAACCTAAGCTAAAGTAAGAGAAACTGCTTGCATCATCTTGGTTCCTCATAGCGAGTGAAGACATGTCCATGTTCGCCATCTCCCGTTGCGTCTGTGCCAGCTCATCCATTTGCCAATATGAATAAAAGGAAAAATGTGGCATAGTTTCTTCACTGTAACCTCCTGACCAGCCGGAGATCCCAAGATCCTCATTGCCAAGATATGAGTTCTGGTTGTTGTTTCCATAACCATAACCTTGGCACTCGTCAGTCACTACTTGAATATTATTAGTAGTTACCGGTGTGTTGTAAGGGTTGGTTCGATGATTCCCACTGATGGCAGTTGTTGTTGTTGTTGTGTCTCTGTTTGAACTCGAACCACCGGTCCACAAGAGCCCACAAGATGAAAGATCCCAAGAGCCAACGTTGATAGGGAAACTAGACTGACTAGATACTGAGATAGGAGGCGGATGTGAATAAGGCGGCAATGTGCTTGTTACCATCGGTTGAGAGCTTGAGTGGTTGAAACCAGATGAACCCACTATAGGATGATTATAGGACTGAGGAATGTAAGTTTGGCTATGTGGCGGTGAACCTAAACGTCCTGCTGAGCTCATTGAACGAGCAAATGACGATGTGGAGGCTTGAACAGCAGATATTACAGGTGCAGCTTGCTTCGGAGGGATGATTGGAGCATTCACAGGTCTAGACATAGATTGTACAGGTGCAGCTTGCTTTGGAGGGATTATAGGAGTACTCACAGGTCTAGACATTGATTGTACATGTGCAGCTTGCTTTGGAGGGATTATAGGAGTACTCACAGGTCTAGACATTGATTGTACATGTGCAGCTTGCTTTGGAGGGATTATAGGAGTACTCACAGGTCTAGACATTGATTGTACATGTGCAGCTTTCTTTGGAGGGATTATAGGTGTACTCACAGGTGCCGTAAGGTTTGGAGAAGCAGTCTTCTGTATATCGGCTATAGGAACCACAGTTTGAAACTGAATATCTCCAGATGATGATGAAGGTAATCTAGCAGATACTGGTTTCCAAACAAGCTTTTTCTCCGGAGCAGCTTGCTTCTGGAGCAGCTTTCTCACAGTCACAAGTGTGGACATGGATTGTACTGGTTGTGCTGCCGGTTTTGGGGAAGCAGTTTTCTGTATATCGACTCTTGGAACCACAGTCTGCAACTGACTATCTGGAGATGATGATGATGATGAAGGTACTTCTTTTATTTTTGGAACAACATCCTTTGTCTCCGGTTTTGGAGAAGCATTTTTCTGTATATCGACTCTTGGAACCACAGTCTCCAACTGAATATCTGGAGATGATGATGATGATGAAGTTACTGCTTTTCCTTTTGGAACAACATCCCTTGTGTCCGGTTTTGCTTGCTCTAAAGAATGGTGTTGATTCTTAGGGTCAGAATCCTCTTTCTCAAGCAACCTTTCTTCTGCTTGGGTCCTCACTGTGTCTGCTCTCTTTTCAGCCTTTCCTTTGTTTTTTTTCTGTTTCGCCTATAAAATTACCAAACCACAAAGAATCTTCATTAGCACCTTGATAAACAAGTTATGTTAGGGCATTATATACATTGAAATTAAGGCAATAGAAGTGTAAAAAGACCTGTTTCTTCTTAGATTTCTTCTCTTTTGCGGCTTTCTGTTTGCTTTTTGCTTCTTCTTCTTCCCGAATAAGCTCTTCTTGCCTTCTCCAGACAAGATCATCTCGGTATGCCATATTAATCGTGTTGCTGCATTTTTCCAAGCATGTTCACGGTTGTAAGCAAAATATGTGCTCATCATCAATTGATTTTTATTTGAAATTTCAAACTTAAAGACAAATGATGGAATCTTACATGTAGATATGACCAAGAGCAAATACTTCCATAGTCTTTTTACCCCTCTCAATTAGACGCCTCTCAACATCTTGTATGGTTTCATCATTGTATACTCCTCTAGCATTCCCATCCTACATTCGGATGAAGAAAAATAATAATTTAATACAGGATTCGATAGACAAGAAGCATTTTTACATTAATGCACCAACAAATCATTAAATTTTAACGTATAACGGAAGAAACTTACCCTTGTGGTTTGATGACCTAATTCATCTTTTGAAGCGAATGGCTCCAAACAAAACCTATGTATGAGTGACATCACATCATCAGCTAACACAAACATATCTTTCTCCACAGTAACCATTGGAGCTGGCGATACTTCGGTATCCGTTAGTCCCAGCCTGCATTTCTTATCCTTAGTTTGGCCTTCAAGAGCCTTCAAACCACTGTACAAGAACTCCATCACAAAAGCGGATGTGATTTTTTGCTCGTGGAAGAAGTTTTTAACAACTTCTTTTAGAACCTCGTCCCTTTTCGCCCAAGACAGCTGACGCCTTGAGTTTTGGTCCAACCCTAACCAGAAGGCACCAAAGCTTCACCGGAAAACAAACAACACATTACTTGTTACGCAAATTGCTCAATACTGTAATCTAGAGGAGTTGAGTGTAAATGTGGAATACCAGTTCCAGTTTAGCTTGTCCTCTGTTACTTTAATAAGCTCTCTTCTATACTCTTCCACAAACCACAATAAAGGTAGATGTACCTCTGGCGCAAACACCGTAACAAGCTCCCTCCTATACTCATAATCAAGGCAACGAAAAGGTCGATCCACCCTTTCTCTGAAAAAATAAATTTACGCAAATTATTCTCATTCAAAAAAAAAAAAAATACAATATAACTATAACCTCTTTACATGACTTTAATTAGATAAATTCAATATTGTATTTTTTTTATTACCTGATCACCTGAATCTGAACTCCAATTAAAAGAGAATCAGAATCATATATGAACCCTTCATGTAATTTAGGTAACTCTATAAACTCATTCCATCCCCGAGCAGTCTCTTTCTTGTAAAACCGAAATATTAAATCTGCAAAAAAAAAGAAAAAATGTGTTTAGTAAGTCTGTGTAATTTAATTTAATTAAAAGATGCCAGAACGTAACCTGCATGCTTCGATTTCTTTGGATCTAGTTTATTCACCAGAGATACAGTAAATTGAGCCAAATGACTCCAGCCTGTGCAAAGATAAATTTTATATAGAGATCGAGAGAGGGAAGCTAAATCGGACAACAATACTCACCTGGATTAAGATTTTCATAGTCTGCGACACAGAGAAACAAAGAGAGATGGTTGGAACTGGAAGCATCACGACCTTGTGGATAAATTACCATAAACCTGCGAACCATTACAGAAATATAAAATATTTTAGCATTCATACGGAAAACTAGGCGACATATACGTTTAATGATTACAGGAATTTCAATATTGTTATCATGGCAATCTATTAAATAGAAAATGGCCTTATGCCCTTATTATTAAGAGTCTAAATTCTTTAATATAACATCATTATTAATTTATTGAAGTTTTAATTAACACCACTATTAATCAATAAAGGTTAAAAAAAAATATGGCTCATTTACCAATCGTGGCCACCGATGTGAAAAACCTCGCTACAAACCCTCCGTTCAGTGATCTTTGAAAAATGATCAATCTTACAAAAATTTCTCCCAAATAGTTCAGAAGGTTTTGGTCCTAAAATAAGGAAAAATAAATAAATCAAATAAAATGCTGCAAAAACACATGATAATACCGCAAAAAACGACAATAATGTGAATCATTTGAGAATGTAACATTTAAAGAATAAAATCAACATGTTTCGTCCAAATAAACTACATTCATGAAAAAACTAACATGCAAAACATACCAAAATCATCATCATCGTCAATGTCCAAGTATGGGGACGACGATGAAGGAGCACTAGTCTTCACTTGATCGGAGGACCGCCACTCCACGAGCGTTAATTCTGATTGACTTCTTTGTTCATTTGGATTCTCTTCCACAGATCTTCCTGCTCCAGAATCTTTATTTGTAGACTCTGACATTCCTCTTGAAGCTAATTTCTCTTTCAGACCACACAAATTTAAATGCCTTTGGTCAAAATACTATACAAATTTTTAGAATTGAGCATATATAAATCAGATCTTAGTCTGTTTTTTATAGCAACTGATATAAGCAATAAAGACGGTCAATGGTTTATTGACCATAATAATATGTACTTCCTAAATCTTAATAATTACCAAAACCAAGATTCATAGCTGATGTGGATCAGGATAAACTGTTTAAACCAATTAACATCAGAAGTGAGTCATATGTACGCTATCCTGAGTCCGGACTTTGATTTGCTGGATTCGTTCGCTGCATCATTAACATCAGAACATATGCATATCACTACAAGAAAAAAATGAATATTGTGAAACAAAATTTCCAACAAATTAGTTTTTCATGATATTGTGACGACTTACATACGAAAATGTGACAGAATTATTTGGTCATAAAAATTTAACAATTTCATTATAATATTGTGATCGAAAGGAACGTAACAAACATTTATCACTAATTGTGACGAATAACACAAATATTGTTACAGCTTTCCGAGGAAATCCGGTAACTAGTCTAATACGATTTTGGTATCCAATTTACGTCACTCATACTTACAAAAAATTGATAGGTATTTCGTCACATTTAGTTACTAGGTTTAGTTATGGACTATGACTTAATTGAAACTACTTTGTGAACAAGATAAAAAAAAACAAAATATTGTTACAGTTTTCCGACGAAATCCGGTAACTAAATTAATACGATTTTGGTATAAAATTCATGTCATACATAGTTTCAAAACAATTGGTAGGTATTTCGGCACAGTTAGTTACTGTTTTAGTGAACTTTAGGTTTAGTCATATATTGTGACTTGAAAATACTTTGTGAACAAGATTAAAAACAAATATTGTTACAGCTTTCCGACGAAATCTGGGTAACTAAATTAATACGATTTTGGTATAAAATTTACGTCACTTATAGTTACAAAGACCTCTCGTCACAATTAGTTATTGTTTTAGTGACTTTTAGGTTTAGTCATAAATTGTAATTTAATTGAAACTACTTTGTGCATAAGATTAAAAATATATGAAGACATTACGTAATTAAATAAAATAGCTTCAATTCTTGAAACACACCAAAAATAAAATAAAATAACTGGAAAATAATAGAGATAAGAATTTCTATCTTCAGCATATGATTCAATTTCTGCTTCTACTTCTAGATCATCAAAGATCTATTACGTGGCCATGTGTTAGAGTGTCTCGATGTGTAGTGCATCAAAATGAACAATAGAAACATCATTTTCATGTTGCATTGCACTCAGGGGCGGATCTACATGGAGAGGGGGTGTGGCAAGTGCCCCATGCTAACTTTATAATTGTTAGTTTGTATTACAATTTTTATAAAGCAAATGTAGCATATTAGTTAGGTTTTATCATTATTGCCCCATACTCATCTTTCGTAGTGGTAGCATATTGGTTAGGTTCGAACCAAGTTTAATCATCTTTCATAGTTGTTGTTTAATTTGATAAACTTAATCATTTCTTTTAGATTAGTTCCTTCAATCAAGTAAATAATTTATTTATTATTTAATATGTTTTTATTTATTATTTAATATGTTTTTAATTCTTCTTATATAGTAAATGTCAATTTTCCACTTATCTTATTTTATATTTAATTAACTAATTTTTTTTTCAGGCATTTTATAATGAACATATTTGGTTTTTAATATTTTAAATAAATATATATTGTACTCCATACAATATTTGTTTCTGGATCCGCCCCTGATTGTACTGATATCTAAATTTTGGTGTACCAATACTTTCCCCGGTATCATAATGCATGTTTTTCAGTGTTAGTCGTTTTTTGTTTGCGTCGTCTGTCGATAAGAAAACATAAGATACTTGATCTGATTTTGTAATAGGTTCATATTTTCCATAACGCCCTTTATCATTGATATCGATAATCTATGACTTGTTTATTAATAGGGGATACCTTTCCTCTTTGTGGTAAGTTTGAATCGTCTTTTCTTTTGCTAATAATCCAACTAAATAGGCATGTTAACAAAAAGAAATTAATCACTTTTAATTCAAAAAACACAGAACAAGTTATGAAAACAAAATTGTGAAAAACATTTCAATCTGGTTGATATTATGCTTTAGGAAACGTAGCTGTCTAGAATGTAACTGACTACGAATCGTACAGGGATCGCTATCCAATTCCTCACGTTTACTTGTATAATGAGAAGAATGTATAAAATAATTTATAATTAGACATATCTACACCTTAGTTTTTCCAAGAAATGAATTGTTCACAAATTTTAGTATGACAACTTGCTATATAATAAAATACTGTGTCCTTTATACATTAGTCTTGTGTGAGATAAATGAGAAGAAACGTTTCCATTTTAACTTTTATATTCCAGTACTTCTCCTGCAACCACATATATAAATTGGTAAAACATAACCAAATAGTTATATAGTTCGACAAAGATTTTGTAATGGGACAGACCTGTTATTTCAGTGAAAATAATATTATGACGACACATAACTAAAAGTATCATATAATTAAAAGAAAGATATATATAAATCTCTCATATAAATCACAAAACATGCATAAATACCCACCCAAAAATATCTTACCATAACATATAATAAACTCCTCGTATGCTCTCCTAGATTACATATATAGTGTTTATACACCAAAAAACCATATAATATACACCAAAAAAAAACATATTATACAAATATAGATGTAGTGTTTGATGATCTCATAAACCAAGACGTAGCTCCAAATCGATCTCATCTCCTTCAACGACAACGTTTTCTCTCCTTGTAGCCATCGAGCCGATTCGTAAGCTCAAGTTCGTGGTCGTCCTCAACAAGATGGAATCTACTTGCTCGTAGCCTCCACGATCAGAAGCTGCAACGTGGAAACATCTTCGAGCACCGGAGAGTGCCACGTCAGCGTCGTTTTGCAACTTGGCCGCCTTGTTGAGACGATCGCGTCGATGGATGTTCATGTGACCGCCTAAAGCTTGTGCGTTCGTGAAACCTCTTTTGCAGAAAGTGCACTCGTACATTCGTCTTGTCACGGTGGAGACCGTCGACGACGTAAGACGGTGGCGGATGGGTCCGGTTTCTGATGACGTGGACGACGATGATCTCTCACACTCCATTGAGCTATTTTGAAGAAATGTTGAAACCCTAAAGATAGGACCTTTTGAATGCAGTTTAAAGATGAAAGAGTAGTCAAATGTGTTGGGTGCATATAAGGATGGTTTTTATGATGGAGAAACCAACTTTATATATAAGACTAATAAATTGTCTTACGTTTTTATATGTTTGGAAGACATGATTTGGCTTTTTGTTTCATGGTATATTAATGTATCGACCTTTTATGTATAGATTTGTCACCGTATATGGTGAATTTATTTTATGTTCTCATGTGTTATATTATTAGCTAGACTAATCTAGCATTAATCTGCCAATAATAGCAAGTTTACGTAGTTAGTTAGTTTTTTCTTTTTACATGTGTGTAGTTAGTTAATTACTTAATTTTAAGAAACAAAGTATCATACACCACAATTAGGCATGCAATCAGAATTTTATCATTAATCTTAAAAAGTATTGCATCGCTAATTCTCCAGTAGATTATTAATTTCATATTTTATTACTTTTAATTTCGAAATTATCTTTAAAGTTTACCTATTTTTATTATTTATTTCCAACAATACAGTTGATTATTTTATTTTATTTAGGTCAGAAAAAAGCATACGTACTTCGTCTCTAGTAGTTTTGGTTACAATACTCGTATATATAAAAAATTAAACACGAAGCCACGAATACAAAAATTATGGAAAGAGACATAACGAAAGATTTGATTAGAAATCGCATAAAACCTATATAAGTCAATCCTCACATTAATCCAATTAACTGAAATCCAAATTAACCTCAACTAAACTCTTCAATCAGTCCACAAAACTACAAGAAATGATGACAGTTAAAAGGCGAGGGAGTGGTTTAAATCAATCGTGTTTGTTTTTATATCTAAACATTCCTTTTGTGTTTGTCTTGTAATAATCCAACCTTTTATCGCAATTTGATCGGTACAAGACCAAATATGAGTTTAAAACTTTGCTCTCCACTAGCTGCTTTTTTTTTACTTCAAAAATATCACTACTGTTGAATACTAATATAGTATTATCACAACTTACAAGAGTTATTATTGAGATAAAGGATTGCAGGTTAAGAGAAGATTATTCATTAATATCAATCAAAGCTCAAAAGGTTTACAAAAAAAAAAAAGATAAATGCCGAAATAAAACCTAAGAACAAGAGGAATTAAGAAGAATTAGCTCAAAGTCTTGCTCTCTTGATGTCAACTATTTTCTTATTGCCTTCAAGTTATGAAGATACTTGTATTTATAAGATTTGGTATTCGGTTCATCGACTTTCTTTTCATTTATCTCTTTTGAAAATTTTCTTGTTAATGTTTATCTCTTCCTTTTTTATAAGTAAGTCGCATTTATCTTTGAGATTTTTCTTTTCTATGAGGAAGTTGACGAAATAGGCTGATTCTTGGCAAGCTATATTTATTGATGATAGGTTTGTTAAGAAATGTATTCATTTCAGTCACCTCTAACATCTATAATCAAATTTGACCCAAAAATATAAACAACATATAGATGTATTCATTAAGAAATGTAATCATTCCAACATATAGATGAAAAACGAGTTTTCATATTTTTAAAAAATATTTCAAAAGAAAGGATAAGAAAAAATAATACAACACATAACTTAATTTTTAGCCTGTTCAACTATAAATCATCTTTTCTAATTTGACAGCTATGGGAATAGTCAAGTTGTCATTTGATAGCAACTCGAGTACTTTGATTCGCTACATCACTGCCACATCATTGATTGATTACGTTACTTGTATACCTAATCCGCTTTGTTTAGGTTTAGTCTACTTTTCCTAGCTCATACAAGTAATACTAAATTGGGATTCCAGTCTTAATAACAAGAGCACCAGTGGTCTAGTGGTAGAATAGTACCCTGCCACGGTACAGACCCGGGTTCGATTCCCGGCTGGTGCACCTAATATGTTTTTTTTTTTTTTTTTTTGCTGCCACTAGCCTACTATGGTAATTTTTTTTTGGGGTGTGAACCTACTATGGTAATATTAGCATACAAAAATCAATGGTAAGATCTTTAGTACTGTTGAACAAAAAAAAAAAAAAAAAGATCTTTAGTACTATGATTTTTGTTACACTATATTTGCATACAAAAATTAATGGTAAGATTTTGTTCGAGAGACTTCTCTTTGAAATAATCCTTCAGCAAGTGATCCGCACGATTAACACGTTCCAGTTTTGTCTCTTTGAATCAGTGAACTTAGTTTACATGTTCAGATACTCAACAACCACAGGAGTTACACATGGATCTAGTTTGGGCATTGCTTCGATATTGCTTGCTATCCACTGGTTATATAGATTTGGAACAGAACACTATAAGCTTTAGAAAAGTTAAAGTGGTGCAGCGTCACAACACAACCTGCAATGATCACAACAAACAAGAGAATTGGGATTGAAAAGAGAAAAAAAAATATTAAAACCACTAAGCAACCGTTGCAATTTTTCTATTGCTATTTACAAAAAAAGTTATCAAACTTCATAACGTTTTAAATAAAAGACATGAACAAAAGACTAATTAAACTAAAAAGTGTTATGCATCTCTCTTATCGGAACAACATTTTGAGCTCCTCAAGTCTCGCCGACCGGACCTCTTCATCGGTCAAAGCTCCGGCAATCATCCTCTGCTTCCTCGCCTGAACTTGCTGCATCCGTTCCTCGACTGTACCCTGCACAAAACCATCCATAACACAACCATCTTACTTAAACAGAATCTTGAAGTTTGATTACTTTCAACGTTGCAATAAACTCATAGAAAATGTTACCTTGACAATGAATCTTCTAACGCATACCGTTCTTTTCTGCCCGATTCGATGAATTCTCATGATCGCTTGCTCTTCCACCGCCGGATTCCACCATGGATCCTAAGTGTTTCAAGAAGCAGAGCAAAAGACCATCACCATTATCATCAATTCATCATCACAAAGAAGAATCCAAAGCAAGCTTTGAAGAGGAATGTTTACCATTAAGAAGACGTTTGATGCTGCTGTTAGATTCAGACCAACTCCTCCAGCTTTCAGAGACATAAGCAGAACCTGTTACATCACGCACAAACATAAAGATCTTTTAAGCTCTCTGTTCGATCTGAGTTTGCAAGAAAAGTACAAAACCAACTTACTGTTTTCTGTTTGGTCTCATTGAACTCTTTCAAGACCTTTTCTCTCCCTTTCTGAGCTAGCTTCCCATCGAATCTAAGAAACTCGATTCCTCTTCTCCGCAACGGAATCTCAAGAAGATCCAAAAACGAAGTCCACTGGCTAAAGACAATGCTCTTCTCTCCATTACCGGCCATCTTGATCTTCTCTAAGCATTTGAGCAGCTCTGAAACTTTGGAAGACTCCTTCCAGTTCTTGACAACATCAATGCGGAAGATACTATCCGTCGGGCATGAGATAAGCTCGGTTTTCTTCAGGATCGTCCTGCAGATCGGGCACGTACCGCAAGACGTAGAGCGCCAGCTAGCAAAGAGACACTCTCTGCACATTCTGTGAGCACAGGGCGTGAGAACTGGATCATCTGCAGACTCGAGACATATTGGACACTCTTGGTTGTTGCCGTCGCGTAAGTCTTGGATAACTTCTTCGATGTATGCACGAGAAGGAGCGTTTTGGGAAACTGAGTCAGCGTTGTTATCAAGAAACCTCCTTGCGAGGCTGTCTAAGTCAGCGTATTGCTGTGAATCTGCCCGGCTGCAAAACATTTTCTCAATGTATTAGTAAACTCTATTTCTAAGGGGAAAACGAAGAAGTCTATTGAATGTCTGATTTTTGTTTTGCTGTTTTACCTCATAACTAGAAAAGGGTGGTTGCAACACTGACGTAGACGGAGAAGGAGCTCAAGGATGTTTGCATAGTTGTGAAGAACTCTTCCTTGTGCCACAAACTGGTCAAATTGGACCTGTTTCCAGAAAAAAAAAACAAAAAAAGAGATTATGCTTAAAATTTACTTGTGACAGGTTTTTTTGTGATTGAAGAATGAAAGTATGACACTTTACTTTGGATCTTTTGTAAAGAGCGGTGTAGAAGTCACGCTCTGCCTCAGACTGTTCACATTCAATGACTTGGACATCCGTTGGAGGAAGTTCAAGAATTAGACTGAAAAATTTGCGGAAAAGAGTTACGAAAAACAAAAAGGAGAAGAAAAAGGATTGAAGCAGTGAGAAAAAAACATTTTTACCTTCCTTCTTTGTCCCTTGTTTCCTTTGTTCTTCTCAGCATCAATGGCCTCAAGATCGCCTTGATCAGTTTCAGTCCTCTTGGATCCCCATTTTCATAAGGCTTCTGAATCAACTTACTCCACCTATACACACACAGAAAAGATTAAAAGTCAAATTAAAAAGGAATTATGTAGCAAACGATAGTACGATCTCAGATGATATCACATCATACCATGCCCAATTGCACCATGGTTCCACATGAAGGAAGCATAGAAGACTGTAAAGATCTTCAAGCTTGTTCTGCATTTGAAGAGGTATAGAGTCAGTAAGTGCCAAAAAGAAGCTGAGCTTACATTACATTGTCTCTTAATGAGAGTTGCTTTAAGTATCTTACTTGTAATGGAGTCCCTGTCAAACACCATCTGCAGTGTGAAGACAGCTCAAACGTAGCTTTAGCACCTTGAGTTTTCCAAGATTTGATCGTGTGAGCTTCATCAAGAACAATCCTATACCAATCAATCCTGTGGAAAATACTATTCCCCATATCCTGCATGCCATGAATCTCAGAATTTAAGGTCCACTAGTTAAAAAAAGTTTTGGGACTGAAAATTTGATATGAAAACTTTCTTACCTGCTTGTAAGCAGAGGTTAAGACACCATAAGTTGTCAAGACAACATCATGACTCGCTATTGCCTTTGCGTCATGTGTTCTGTCCCCTCCATAGTAAACTAACACAGAAACTGTCTCAGGCTTGGAATGAGTCTCAAGCTCGTCCTGTAATGAAGTGAAAAAATCTATTACCTTTCTGAAAACAACTATCAAAAGATTAAAAAGAAAACAAACTATCAAATCAAATCACCTTCCATTGGCTTAACAATGCCATGGGACAAACAATAAGTGTCCCTCCTTTTGCCTTCACAATCGTTAGTGCTCTGTGATGATTCTCCTTCCTCTTAGGTTTATCCGCAGTAACATCTCCCGCCGGCCCAATGTCATCTTCGATTTCCGGGTTACCTCGGCCTGGCCTTGCAAGTATTAATGCAATTGTCATCACAGTTTTTCCAAGTCCCATTGCATCTGCCAATATCTGCAAAAACAAAAAAAAAAAAAATAACTCATATCAGAATCAACAAGCCGAGACATTCAGTGCCATTAGAATGAATATTTCAGTGTGACCAAGAAACGTACTCCTCCTCTTGCCATCTGTGTTGCTGTTGGAAATTGGATTGTTGCTTCACCGCTGAAGATGTTTATATAGATTGAAGGTGCCCTCCTGAAGAAATTTGCATACAAATCAAACGTTATAAGATCAATATAACATACTTATCCTTTTTAAAAAACATTTTGAGAAAAGTACTTACTCGTCACAGATTCGGTAAGCCTCCCAGCAAGGATGTAAAGTTTCAGCTGCCTTGTCCACATCGATTCCTTTTTCAGATTCTGACATCCAGTAGAGAGCTTGTTTCTGGTATGGTCTAAGGTTACATGTGAGTGTACTCGGAGCTTCCATTTCCTAGACAAATAGAAAAAGGATATTAAATTTTATTTTCTTCTTGTAAAGAGGACCAAGAGAGATTTGTTCTTATTAAACAAACATAACACACCTCGAGGTTGTATGAATCAGCAGCGCCAACAACACGGTTCATATATGACTCAGGAGCATCTTCTTCCTCTTTGCTCTGCTCTACGTAATGCTCACTGCCTTTTCTTCTTTTCGCTACGGCCAACATTGCTGCTCTTTCATCTGTGTCATCCTGACAAAATGAAATGCACAATTCATAACATTATTCATCACCATAAATTATATGAGTTTCAAGGAGGAACTAAAAGTGGAACACATACCTCCAAATTCAGAGAACGTTTGCGAGAGTCGAGTTCTTGAGGAGTGAACTCCGCCTTTTGATAAGGCTTGATCGTCAAGTGCTTGAAAAGCTGGAGAAGAGGATGAAGAGTGGAATTGATGTTTGGAGAAGAACCAATACGCCAAGTGGATTTGCTAACTTCAGTGAATATTGAGCTGTGAATGTAAAAACTGCCCATCCAAAAAAGCCATATATAAATAAGTTTCCAATTTTCACTCAAAGCAAGAAGAAATCAAAACCAAAACATATCATTCATTACCTGACGTAAAGCATAATATCTTGCATCATATGAAGAAATGTTGGCGCCGCAACACATCTGCCTAGCATTTTGACCTTACCAGTTTTCAAAAGAAACACTGCCCAATTTGACCAATCCATCGGAAGCCTCCCAATCTAAAGATCATACATGCCAAAGACAATACAATCAATTGAAGTTTCTCACGGCAAACCAAAACAAAAGTATGACTGAATGATGTCAAAACTTTAAGACACATAAACACAAACTTTATGGACTAATGAAAGCAAAAATGGTTCATGTTCCAATCTAATTCTCTGAATGCAACCAAAACACACACAGAATTTTTTGGCTTTATGGACTAATGAACACAAACACAAATTGTTCAGTAAACTTTATGGACTAATGAATGAAAGCAGAATGGGTTCATGTTCCAATCTAATCACATGAATGCAACAAAAACACACAAAAAAAGAATTGGCTTACCTCTCCGCATCTTTTAGTAGAGAAGCGAACAATGTTGGGGACTTTCCAATTGACTGCATTGGAAAATGTGAAATCCACAACCTCGTTATCTTCCAATTTCCTTCCTTTACTAGTGGAAGTGGCCGTGACAAGCGACCTCCCAACCAAGAACCAATCTTTCTCCACCGGAAAGTCTCCGTCTTCAACTTTCGCCTTCCTTGCTTCAACAGGTTCCTTCTTCACATACACAGGTCTCTGTTGCGAGCTCACACTCAAAGCATCCACCTTTATCACCTCAACAGGTTCCATCTTCACATAAGTATCACCACTCTTCTCTTGTTTCACCGGAGAATCTGATTCCACGTCAATCACTTCAGGGGTATCCAAATCCTCTGTTTCCGCTTTGATAACTCGAAGTGGCTTCGCCGCTATGATGACACCAGTTGGTATGGATTGTTCTGTCTCCAGTTTCCTTCTTTTAGCTGAATTTCCCGACAAAAAGAGACCAATCTCTTGCGAAGATCCTTGAATCTCACTTCCCTGGCCTTCCTGGACTCTGACCAGCTCATCTTTCTTCTCGAGCACATTCGAAAAAGCAGAGACGTCTTTCTCCTCTGTATCAGGCTCTTCCTTGACCTTAACATTAACACACTCGTACTCAGAACATCTTGAAACGGTTTCGACCACAGATTTTGCAATCGAATCAAAGATCATTCCTTCTTCTTCGTCTTGGGCACTCACCGGATTCTCAATATGCAAATCAGGTTCCTCCACCTTTACTATCTTCACATCACAATCATAACCTGAAGCGCTTGAAGCAATTTCAACCACAGACTTTTCTATAGAATCAACAATCATTTCTTCTCCCTGATCAGAAACTCCATTCTCAACGTGTAAATCAGGTTCCTCCTTCACAAAGATCTCTACTTTATCCTCTCTAAGCCCATCAGATTCTACAGTAACAGATTCATCACCAGTTACCTCAAGAGTAGTAGTCACCGGTGGAGAATCGGAAGGATCCAATTTAGATCCATTTGAGGCGATAATCCTTTGCTCGTCAAATTGAGCTAAGATTCGAACTCCGGTGCCTGTCCGAACGACTAGAGGGGATCCGTCGATAAAAGTGGGAGTGTCGGCAACGGTTTTGCCATCATCGGAATACAGAACAGCTGCTTCCGGTTTGGTTCTCTGCATCTCCGTGTCGTCAATCAGAACCATTTGAGTAAAAAAGAAATTTGCAAGATGGAGAAAAGAGTGAAAGGGGGAGAGGAGAGGGAGATGGAGAGACGAAAATGGCGGATGAAAGAATGTGAGAGTGAAGGTTAGGGTTTATAAATAAGGTCTTTTGGGATTCAATTGGCGCGAATTGAAGCGAATGGTTTTGTTAATAAACCTTCGCGGGGTGTTTTTTTGAGCCAAATTTACTGTTAATCCTCGCCGTTAATTTCTCAATTTATCTAGAAAGCATAATTTATTCCCTCGTAAAGCTTCGCGGGTTAAATACTGTATTTACTTTTTTCCCTTTTTAAAATCTTAAATCTTTAAATCGAATTATGTGCCTTCTTCTCTACTGAACTTTATGAAATTCCAATTTTAATTTCATTTTACATTTTGTTTACTATATGAAAAAATGTCAGTTTCGGTTCGTTTCTTAAGTAGAGAAAATTTTGAAGCTAGATTATTTGAATTAAAGTTACAAAATGGATTATAATTTATAATCCCTTATTGAGCTAATAAACTCTTCGTGCTTACTTTGGAAAGAGCAAAAATAATGCGAAGTTAGAAGCGAAACAGTCATTGAATCAGATGATTAAGTGAAGACTCTGGAGCAACCGGAGGGTCGACCATGAATTCGTAGACGGAGAATGAGATATAGAAGATGATCAAGATTCAAGAGTCTCAATCTTAAGCTTGGTTATCTCAATATAATGTGTTAAAATTTTCGGTTTAATCGGTTTAATGGTTTAAAGTTTAAGCTGTTCCCAAGGGCATTTCCTGCCTACATAAATTTCGAAAAAAAGGCTTTCTGACTGAATTTTCCACATAAATAACCAAACAGAAAATTAGTTTCTTATAATATTGGAGGGTCGGCCGAGCGAGCCAACCCTATGGGGTTTTCCAGAAATTACGTCGGCCATATGTCTTGATTGCCATACAGCACTCACCCTTTTAAACTCAGGCTGAGCGTGGCACAAATAGCCATCCGACCCTTTTAATTTTCAATGTCAAGGCCCATCACCTTTATATAAAAGCCTTCCTCTACATCCTCCTCTCTCCTACTCCCGATGTGGGACAAAACCAAGCCACAAAAACCAAATTAAATTTTTGATAAAATGCCTCTGAAATTAGAAATTAGAATTTGTATTTGTAAACAGATAAAATCAGTCTTTTAACATAAACTAGGAGCTAATGAAACACATTGCTTGTGCTTGAAGGTAATAAGAGTCTCTATACTTCCTCCCACTCCCTACGTGAATCCCATTTTGCATCCACTCCTTTCTGTTTATCCAAGCCTCTCTCCCAAAATCCAAGATTCCTAATATCTGTTGTGTCTCCCAATTTTATACACAACATTTCAGTATATAACTACCCATTTTATATGAAGAGAATAGTAATAAACACAACAAATGCAAAAGCGTACGTACCGCTCCTCCTTTCCAAGATATGAATGTTGGGTCCATTCTTGACTGCAGAACCTCCACCGTGTCAATGGCTTCCGTTGGAGGTATCGCATGAAGAACTCTACAAAACGCCGAGTAGAGAGGAATATAAATATTACTTCAACAAAACAATCTGTTTGGATCTTCGGATTACAGCAAAAAAAGGAAAATGAACAAACCTTTCTTCCACGGCTGAGACAAGACCTTTAGTCAAACCAACACCACCAACCTGAGAAGAAAGCAATAAACCAAGAGTTTTTCAAGGAGTGAGTGTTTGAAAGGTAAACGTTTTAAAGAATTTACCAATTGTATGCTAGAGAATAGCTTTCGCTGAAGCTCTATACGTCCTGCAATTCAAAAAAAGAGCTTTTGTTAGGTGTCATTGCCTTCTCAAGGTAAAGCAGGAGAGGTTGCATTTATAACATGTACCAGCAGAGAGAATGCTGCTTGTAATGGCTTCGGCGAGACCAATCTTCTCTTCTTTCTTAGGTTTAAACGGGGAAGCTGCAAAGCTATCCCACACTGGTAGTCCCATATTACCACCACCACCTGCATAGTCCATGTTCCATGTTTCCTCCAACATATTCTCGTGGTCGTGGAACCTAACCAATAGACACAGACTCTCGAAAATCAGCATCTTTCGATCCAAAACCAAACCGAAGAAAAAACGGATAGAGGAAGGATTGACTCTTGACTCTGACCATGTACGTGGTGGCTGTGGAAACACTTCAGGGACCAGAAGGTTAGGATAAAACAGACCCATTGGTGGAACCTGAAATAACCAAGTTTTCAAAGACTTAAAAACAAAAACATAACATCATTAGCAGTATAATGAACTGATCTTGTTTATATTCTTACGTTAAGTGCAGTGAGATTTGTCTTGTGAGGCACAGAAAACATGCCGTCGTCCTCGTAAGAATGAACAGTTGCAACTGTCTCAAGATCTCCTTCCTGTGTATGTATAAAGGTGTATTAGTTTCGATATTCCTTAATCAAGAGAATAAAACAATGGAAATTAAATCCAACTTACTTTAATTTCACAATATGACTCCTTGATCTGATTAAGCATCAGCAGATCGACTGGCTTTGCCAAAACGTCTGTGTGGATTTTTGGCCAGTTATGGCTATTGCTCTGAATCCATAGAAGACATCTACATATATCCTGAAAATTTTATGTAGATGAAGAAATTTTAGTACGCAATGTAGCTCAAGAGGAATGGTAAATACGTCATTACCTCTCCTCCGAAAGGTAAAATCTTTTCAGTATTTGGCAATGAGACTCCGTCCTACAAAACCAATCAAATGAGCATATAACAGTTGATAATAGCAGAAAGATGTTGGTCAAGACTTTCTCAGTATTCTCCTAATACCTCAATGCAAACAACTGTGCTTGTCTGGGCTCCCATATTCACAATACAAGCCGTTGACAAACCGTTCCCAAAAATGGCGGATAGACCTTCCTGGTGGACTACGGCTGAGTTAAAGCGTAGGTCTCGCAGCACAATAGTTAGCATTTCCTTTATCTCTGACAATATCATGAAGCCAAAATGAGAAATACATATCTTGATTGGAACTGAAAATCAAGACTGCAATTAGCATTAACAAGTTTTTACCGCGGCTGTCAAATGTTTCCGGGACAACAAGAACAGCAGAGTACTTGTTTCTCTCACTGTGAACTATGTTAAGTTTATCTAATAAAACCCAGTCCCAAATAGCGGCCATGTCCTCACAAACCTGGAAAGTTGAAATATCTAATAAGTAACCAGAAAAAGATCCTTTCACAAAGACAGGACAAAAGCAATATCGGAAGTATATATATTATAATTATATACCTGTTGCGCTGAATAATGTGGCGAAACATTGAAGTGACCTCTACGAATAGGACGGTGTAAGCAATATGGCTCTTTGGAAGATATTTTCAAAGCTTCTTCACCAAAAATCATCTCCCTATACTTGCGCTTACTCTCACCAGTAACCTTAAAGTCAGTAGCAGCTCCAGTTTCGCTGGCTTCAGCTTTATCAGCAGAAGTGTCTGCATAAATGGCGTAGATAAGAAATATAAAACATTGACATTCATCACATTCCAGTGCATTTTACCATATATAGCAGACACAAGCCTCTATATGGTATACACAAATGGTTAACTGATAAAAGAGAATCCACTACTATGTACTACTTGGTACAAGAAGATTAGAATGAGACACCTGATGTTGCAGGCGAACTAGGATCATCCTCATACACGTTAGTCCAAGTAAAGACGGTATCTTTCTTCGTTGTAGTACACGGTTGATTGTATCCAATAGTCCTCGCCACCTGCATAGTTGATAACAGAAAACAGCAAGAACAATTCAGTTCCACACATTACTCAAATAACACATACTTATCAAAAGTAAAGGACTTCAAACTTACCTTGCGTGATGATGAAGAGCCAAAAGAAGAACTTTCATCCAATAACGGTATCTTCAACAGCGACGCAGCCTTTCAACGAAAACAAAGAATCAGCAGCAAGAAGTAATCTTTAGTGACAGAAACAAGCAAGCTTAAGTTTTTCTCTTACAGTATTGTAAGCTCTCTCACGTTCAACGTGTTGATTAGTTGTGACCTGAGTGTTAAGCATCTGGGATTTAAAAAAGAACACACCATCAAAATTCACTGAAATGAGACTAAAGATACCATTTTTTTTAACAAAAATTTACGAAAACCTGATCAATAACGTTTGGTTTCCCGGTTTGTGTGTTGCGCCTAGCAATGCAATGAGGGACATTGAAGGGTGTCTCTTGCTTAGCTAATCCTATTCTTACATTTGCAGATCCTAATCAAAAACAAAACCAAAAAGCTTAAAAGCTCGTTCCGTTGATAGGAATTGAAATTTGAAAGAAGAGAAGAGGGAGAGAGAGGAGAGGAAGGACCTGGGTTGATGACAACGAGATTTGATCCTCGTTCAGATACAATCTGAGATGGGACAACAGATTTCAAGTAATCCTGCGAAATTTTCAAAAGATTATTTCCATCAGAGAAGAACTTGATTTGGCTTTCCAACGAAAACGGTAGAAAAGAACTAATAATACCATTGGACGGCGAATGAATCGATGGATTCCTCGCTGAGATTGTTGAATTAGGGTTTCGAATTTCACGGAATTTGGAAAGCTCGATTGATCGGAACACTCCACTTGTTGAATTGAGAGTGGGGTTTAAGAAGACGGACAGAGCAAGACGGAAGTGCTAATGATTTTAGTCTATACTGTGTGATTCACAAACGCAAACCACAAACCGAGCCAAACTAATTTCGGTGGACACTTCGGGTAAAGTAAACCCAAATTAACCGCACCAAACCAAACTCCAACCGGGTGCGAAATAAAATCGAAGCGCCTAGCGCATTCTGAAGTCTGAACATAGGGTTTAAATGTTGTTGAATGCGGAATCTGGCTGAATAAAATGAAGATTTTTTGCAGAATCTGGCTGATTAGTTTGTAATGTGAATGGTAACAGCTGAATGTTGCTGAATGCAGAATGCAGAATGAATACTTGTGTAAATATTTACGTAACAGAATAATAAAATATTTACTAGTTAAATTATGAAGAAAATATATATTTATGAAATAGCTAAATAATAGTTATATCAAAATATTTTAATTTAAGAATTTTTTATTCACAATAATTTATTAAACATCAAAATTTAACTCATTTAAATTTAAAACATACATTTTTTATATTAACAATTCATTAATGAAAAGCATCCCATATTTGTTGTTTTATTCCTTCTCGTATTGTTTGCATATAGACACCATCTGTTGTTTCCTCTTGTTCTTGCAAAAAAATTACTTCTTCGCCTTCTCCACCTTCTTCGCCTTCTTCACCTTCTCCATTACTATTAAACTGTTCTCGTGGTATTGCGTCAATATACGCATCATCAAAATCAAAATCTTGAATTTGAGAAAGACGAATGAAGTTATGCAATCCAGCTGTGCTTATGATAATATTGTTTTGAATTTCGACCCCATATCTGGGAAACTCTGATAAAATCCTCCATTTTTTCTTCCAAACTCCAAATGTTCGTTCAATCACTGAGCGGAGTGAAGAATGCCACCGATTAAACAACTCTTCTTCACCTCTCGGTGGGGAGCCAACTTGAAAATGTGGCAAATGATACCTATGACCTCTAAATGGAGCTAAATATCCTCTTGTATTAGCGTAACCGGAATCTACGAGATAATACTTGGATGGCGGAGGAATTGGAAAAGTTGAATCACGCTCCATTGCATAAGACAAAACTCTAGCGTCATGTACGGATCCAGGACATCCTACAAATATGTAAGTGAATAACATATCATAGTTGCATATCGCCAAAACATTAATGCTTGTTTGTGAATGCCTGTTATAAAATCGAGCTGCCTCGCCACCAGCTACCATAACCGTACAATGAGTGCCATCCATTGCTCCAATAAAACCATTAAAATAAGGCCAATATTGAGTATTATCTCGTAAACCTCGAGGTACTTGTCGGAGCTGCTCAGGAGACTGCTTCTTAAGTAATCTACCAGATAGTTTTCTGCATGCTTTAAGACATTCTTGAAATTTGCGTCCAACTGTTTCTTGTGCGCGTCCAAATAAGAGCCCAACCGAGTGTTGTGTCATGTTATGACCACATATAACAAGAAACATTGCCACTGTTTCTTCTACCGATATGTTTTTTGTGTTTCTCACTCCAAAATCTGTGTGCAATGTCTCACATAGACGTGTAAAGACCTCTATACGCATCCTCAAAAGATGTAAGCAATCTCTTGGATAGTTATAAATTCTTGTTTTTATGTTGCTCCATCCTAAACCCCATTCAGCTCCCATTGGTTGTCGATTATAATACATTTTGTAGTAATCTATCACAGGCCTGAAGAGTGCTTCCATGACATCCATGTGCTCCAGAAAAATAAGTTCAAGTAGCTCATCGTCCGTGAGGTTATGTAATCCACGTGAATATAACTCGATAATGCGAGAAACCTGAAGATAAATAATAATTCATTAATTAACACTTAAAACATCAAGAAACTAGTATCAGCTGAATAAAAAATTATATTTAATACATATTAAACATTTTTAAAATTAAAAGACTATTTTAACTAGTTGTCTCCATCATTATCATTGTTTCCAATTGTGCGATTGAAATCAGACAAATTAAAACGATCAAGTAACTCGGATGCAGACGCAGGTCTATATGCAAAACCTTCATCAGAGCTAACTCTTGGATTTGAGGACTCATCAAACTGTGGGTTAGAGTTTGGAACTTGAAATCCTTGTCTTCTTCTGAATTGGTTCGGTGAACCGGAACTTACAAATTGTGAAAACCCTCCCAAATTTGAAGTACCATCACCACCAAAATTTGAAGTTCCTCCGATGTTGAAATTTCCAGCATTATTGAATTGTGAAAACCCTCCTACGCCAGGAGAACCAGATCCACTACCAAATGATCCTCTACTACTTGGCCCGCTAGAACCACTAAGCTGACGTTTCCATGGACTACCCCGAAAAGTGCCACTTCGATCATAACCTGTCACCCCTTCGAGAAAACGAATTCTCTCTTCATTATTTTTTAGCAGCACAAACCTCTTTTTCCAGCATTATTGAATTGTGAAAACCCTCCTACGCCAGGAGAACCAGATCCACTACCAAATGATCCTCTACTACTTGGCCCGCTAGAACCACTAAGTTGACGTTTCCACGGACTACCCCGAAAAGTGCCACTTCGATCATAACCTGTCACCCCTTCGAGAAAACGAATTCTCTCTTCGTTATTTTTTAGCAGCACAAACCTCTTTTGCTCGAACGGGTCTCTTAAAATCTCCGATGATGCCCACCAAAAATCTGTAAATTTCTCTATGCCTTGTAATTCATTTAGCTGCAACCGAGATTCATGCTCATAATCTTCATTCGCTTGGCTACGTGCATTGAGCATTTGGATTGGAGTTTGCATAGTTGCAAGATATGACTCAATATTTGTTAGATGTGTGTCCATAACAGCTCTTCTTCGTGGGGTTTGTGTTGTCTGTCGGCTGGATTGGTTTCGTCCTCTATTAGTAGTTCTACCACCTCTGTTACCATGTTGCCTAGATCGTCGGTTGTGTGTAGGTATCTCAATCGGCATTGATGACTGATTTTCCATTGGTTGTTGTGGTTCTGAATCCGGTACACCATAAGTGAAGCCTTCTTCATTATTATCATCATCATCTTCTCCAGACTCTTGTTCTTCTTCGTCATTATCGCTTTCAACTATCTCATCTATTTGGCTTGCTGAAACCATATAGTCGTTCACAACACAATGAGGACCAAACACCTTGTGCATCAAGTCTATGCATGGCAGAGGATTTTTTTTTAATCTTGATGCTCCTTCCGTGTCCTACGTTCAAAATTTTATTATTATTTTTTAAAAAAATCATTTAAATTTAAGTTAACTAAAATATTATAAATAGGAAAATAAATAATCATACCTTTTTCCTGTCTTCCCACCATTTTTCATCCATGGTTATTTTTCCGGTTTCTCGTTCAATGTTTGTACCAGTACGAACAACAAGTCTTTGATACACCGTGTACAATTTTTTTAAATCGTCATGTTTTTGTTTACACTTCTCCCAATCAATTCTATAGCCTGTCTGTTTACGGAACTTCTTGACTATATTATTTTTACCATCTCTATATGGTAAAGTCGAGACATAGTTTATTTTTTGTAGTTCTTCATCTAGTAATTCAATAAATAAGCTGTTCATTCTTGGCAACCATCTAGAAAAAGTCTACATTTATAAATAAAAGAAATTATTAAACTAATTACTTGTAAGTAAATATGAAAATTAAATCAAAGTATATTTATACCGTATTGTTTCGGTTTGACGGTCCACTACCAGCATCTCCTGCACCGCTCATTTTCAATTCTGATAAATAAAGAAATATTAAAAGTAAAAATGTTAGTTTCAGAAATTTGATCTACAATATATCTAAATGTGAAAATTTTAAATGCAAATGTTTTTATAATATTGTAAAAATATATGATGAGCCTTCTTAAATCAAAATAAAATTTATCTAAACAAAAGAACAATATTTTATCATAGTCAAAGCATTTACATAAATAAATAAGTGATTTGGTTTAATATTCTACAGATTATATATAATATAAAAGTAACTTATGTTTTCAAAATTTTAAAACCTAGTGTTTTAGTAATATTAAGAACAAATATATAATCATTAATCTTTGAGATTTGCGATTTTTCATGATAAGATATATATGTATAAAACTTTTAATATAAAAAAAACTAAAAGGATGCTATTTGTCTAAATTCTTTAATTTTTTGTAGTATTTATAAAAATTTCTTCTGAATAAAATTTTGTTTCAATGTTATCGCTCCTTTTTTTATTACAAGCTTTTCAGTACATTAATATAAAACTAAAATTCAGCTTGATAAAATATTATTGTAAAGAATGAACGAGTATCAACAAAAAAATGTGTACTTACTTGATTTTGGTTTTCTTGTGTGCTTTTTCTTCTTCGGACGTTTGGATCACTTTTTTTTCTTAAGGAACTAGTTTTTTCTGGGTAAATGAAAGGGTGATGATTTCTTGAATGTGCAATAAGATGCACCTCTTTATAGCAAATGTTAAAATACAGCCGTGAACTTTATTTATTGTTTTTTGATTTGTCTTTTTTCAATTATAGACATTGATTTGCTCAATTTTATCTACAAGGAAAATAAAAAACTGTATAGTTTTGTTTTTTATGTCAAATATTTAATTATTGAAAAAGAAATAAAATTCCTCAGATTTTGTCTTTTACTTAAATTCAGCTGAATTACACAAATGATAACTGGTAACTATAAATAGTATTCAGCTGTATTCTTCTACATTCTGCAAATCTTCAATACACCAGTTAGGCCCCTAGTATAGTTTAAAGAATTTGACGAATTGGGTGTGCTAGTCAAACGAGTCTGCAGATTTGACAAAGAATACTATTTTACTTCATAACTCTGAACTTGGGAGAAGATATTTATATATCAAAGACAGATAGATAATATTCACCCAAAAAAAAAGACAGATAGATAATAAGCATCCACGTGGCAGTCACTTTGAGTGTGCTAAGTCAACGAGTCTCTCTCTTATCCTCCCAATCCAATTCAATATCTAACTCCGTCACCGACATGCTAAAGGCCGGCGGCGACACAGGCGGAAATCCAACAGAAGAAGAAGAGGAAGCATTTCTCCGTTCTCTGCTCAAAATCCGTGTGAAAGACATCACCCGTCTCATCGGTGATCTAAACGAGTGGCTCCGAGTCAAATCGTTCTCCAATTCTCCGAGATTCCTCACCGGGACTTCAATCGCCGCCGGTTTTCTACGGGAATATTCGCGATCCAAATTCTCCGAAGTCTCAGCTCCTCCAACGACGAGGTCTGCGTCGCCCAATTCAGGTCTCGATCCGTGGTCGTCACCGGGAACCGGATCAGAAATCGAAATCGCGACTTCCTCCGCCGCCGATTTCACTGTACCGTCGATAGGTTCGACGAGAGATCGACAGAGAGGACAAGAGGAGTGAGAATGAAACCACATATCGATGCAGTCAACATGAAACGTGTGCTTGCAATTGGGCAAAACCCGACCCGATTCGCTCTCCTCGAATTCCGAGAGGCAAACCGCACACTCGATCGCGCTTTCGGCGGTCGCGGCGGAGAAAGTAAAAACGGGAAGAGATTTTATGACGGACTGGTCGAGGCCGCGGGAGGTTACGGCACCGGTGGAGGAAGGGTTGGCGAAGAAGATAATAGCAGCGGCGGCGCGACGATTGCTGTTGAATCGGCGGAGATGGAAGCGGCGAGAGCGGAGGAGATACCAGCGAGAGTAGAGGTGGAGAAAGATCATGAGAATGACGACGAATAAGATTAGGATTATGGCGGTGAGCATGATTCTGCTGTTTATCGTGAAGCTGCCAGGATCCGAATAGGCGCCGGGTGGGCTGGGAACTGGATTCGGGTCTCTAAAACTCATAGTTTCTGATTTCGATCGGATCCTAGATTAAGAACTGAAAGAAAGAGAGAGAAATGTGTGAATGAAGTGCAAGATGGCTATGGTGGTTTTTAGTAATGGCGAGTAAGAAAGAGTCGGAGAAAGAGAAAGACAGAGATGGCTAATTGGCTATTGGGACTACGAGATTTGAAGACGCCAACGTTGACTATTCACTTGACCTTTTTACTCTTTTGTGTTTGAATGTTTTTTTTGGTTGATTTTGATTTGATTTTTCCAAGGTAGCACGAAAAATATTAATGAATATATGTATTTTAAAAAAGTTTCTAAAATTAATATATTAAAAAAATATATATAATATTTGTATTATACTTTGATAGTGCTCCAAACAAACTGGAGAAATATTTTACTAGTTAGAGATGATAGTGCTGCTCTATAATCAATTTTCAAACGCACGACCTTTTGTAATATTTGTCTGTTAACAACTACATGTGTCTGAATGGAGACAATTTGTCTCCCCTCATAAAACGTGTCTCACATTGTGAATGGATGCACATGTTAGAGTAAAAAAAAGAGGTGGAAATTTTTTTTTACTCTCACTTACTCTAATGCTAGCCATTTAGCTGGAAAAATAAATAATCTGATTTTCAGCCAATATGGCTCAATTTGCCTATATACATGTTATTCCACTTTTTGGAGGAAGAAAAGAGATAAGTGAAACATTATTTATTTATTACTTTCATTTATTTTCACTTACACTCATTTACTACCATTCACATATAAAACATTTTTCTCCATTTTCTCACTCTTTTACTCTATTTATCAATTTTTCTTCCCTCTCAATTACTCTTCTCTCTTTTACTCTAAATTACTCTAATGTTTACCATTCACACCCTCAATATATTTATTTTTTTTCTTTTTTTTAACTCATTCTAGTTTAATAGGCAACTTCAAAATACCGTTAAAAATTCCCCTGTCGTCATAAATATATGGAGTACAATATATGTAGTCAGTCAAGGCCTGAGAAATTGATATTCTACCTCGACAGAACATAATCATCAATAACGGATAGGAATTTCTTTTTGGATTTTAAATACTCAGATTTGACATGCGTTCAAAATCTTGCTAGGCGGTACTCGGGCGGTCTATGGGAGTAGTAATCGGGGATTTGTTTGGAGAGTAATCGGGGAATTATTTTAAATATTTTTATATATAATTAAACATTTTTTTTATAAAAATATAACACATCATCAATCTGATAAATATATATTACCAATTTAGATTTGATATGTTATCTAGAATATATACATATTATCATTTAGATTAAAGTATTAAATATGTTATCTAAAATTCGAACCAAACCAAGATTATGTTAATTCAACTATGGTTCAGTTATAAGGAGGGAACTTTTATTTGTTGGGTGTGACATTAGCTTTTCTTTAACTCAACCAGTTAATGGGGAGAAATCCCCTCTCTTCAACCAAAAAAAAAAAAAAAACTCAACCAGTTAATTCAACAGGGTGTGACATTAACTTTTCTTTTCAACCAATTACAATAATCAAAATATAAAATTAGTTTTCTTCTACATACATGATTTGGATTATTCTTGAGACCAAAGGTAGATTATTTAACCGGGAAATCAAAATAATGACGATTGTCAAAATTAATTTTCTTTTAAGCTTCTAGGTTGAGTCCTTGACAAAACTTCTCATGGGGTTTGTACTATACATTTTATTTTATTTGATAACAGAACAATCGGTGAGATCTGATAAATTATTAAAGTCAGTCAAACAAAAACGAAATTGATGTCAATTAATAATCACAGAAAATCATGTTGGCTTAGTGGGACACCCCGGCCACAAGCCGGCAACTAGACGTCGTTCACACAAACAAGATTAAACGCTTCAAGGAGGTTTGGTAACTTTAGATTTCAGTTTACTTTTGTTGGTTTAAAGTTTTACTAGTTGTGTTGGATGGCCATGGTAATCGTATCTTTGACTGGTTGATGGAGTTTCTTAAGAATATAAGCCATATCATGGTTTAGTATCATAGACTTTAGAGTAGATGAATATCAAAGTCAGATTACAATAAATTATAACATGTCTTTTATAAAAACAAACGTGTGATCTCATATTTTTTCTAACATTTTTCCAATCGTCATTAAAGAAGTAAATTAATCCCAATGTCAAAGAATTTTAATGATAGTTTTGTCGTCTGTAGAGCAAACCATATATATTAGTAAATTTTCCTATTTTAAAAGAAAAATTCAGTTGTCAGTTTAGTAGGAAGATTAGTTTCAATTTCTGCTCTTGTTAGTATAGTGACAAAAATCAACTGCCCAACAACAGATACTTTTTTGAGTATTTGCACTGGATAGCAATACTGTTTGGCCTAATTAAGAAAATGACAAGAACAATTATCTTGTTTTTTTTTTTTTTTTTTGTTCAAAACCAATTATCTTGTTCAAACAATGAAAATATTTCACCACCACTTCTCTCCTTTATACCCTCACGCGTTTTTTTCTTTCTTAATCTCATTTTCTCACTCTTTCATCTTAAATGACTTGCTCTCCTTTCTTCTTTTTATTATTTTCAGAAAAATGAATCTTTCTACTTTCAAACTCCAAAAATGATTAGAAATCATCACTCATATATGTTTCTCATATTTTTCTTCCACCATACAAATTTGCCATAGATATTGAATCAACACATTTTAAAACTATTTTTTGTCAAAAAAAAAAATGATCACCACTTTAAGGGATCTCTATTCTAAATTTTCAACATTTACACATTTCTTAGAAGTGAAGTTATGAAATAAAAAGCTGACAAGATACCAAATAACTTGTTATGGAAAAATATACATATATACATAATTAAAAGAACAATTTATGTGTTTTTATAACATGTTAAAATATTTATTATATCATATATACAAATTTTGGTTTCATTTTTATATATGTTATTTAATTTTTTGGAGCCTTATAAATTAATATAACTTGTCATTACGATATATACTGTGCTAAACATATAAATAACAATTTAGAAACTATGTTTTCAATAAATTAAATATATATCTTATTATATGTAGTTATTTGGAACTCTATAAATAAATATAACTCGTTATTACAATATTTTTAGTGTTAAATACATAAATAGCAATTTAAAATCTATGTTTTCGGTAAATTATAATATATATCGTGTTATATTTGTTTACAATATAACTCACACATATTTATCCATAAATTGTTTTTGGATTAGTGAGACAAATCGATTTGAAGTTATGCTTTGAATGATGAAAACAATTCAGATTTGTGGTTGTTTCGTATTATTAGATCTGATTTATACATGGTTAATCTAAGTTTGGAATCTGTGTTACTTGTGCAAAAATGAAAAATAAAGAAGATACAAGAGAGGAGAAAAAAAAAGGCGTGAAAAGCAAAAATACAAGAGAGGAGAGTATTTAAAATATCATTCAATGCAATTAATTATCACAAATCTTCTCTCCTCTTTCAAATTTTCTCCATTCGCATACAATGCATCTTCACTCCAAAAATACTACTCCCTCCATCGTTTTGACAAAATAAATTTTAACTATTTATTAATGTATCGAGATGTGTTTTGAGTTTTAATACATCCATATATATCTAGATACATTGGATAGTTAAGAATCAAAACAACACTTATTATAAAACAGATGGAATACTATTTACTATACCCTTTGCCTCTTTACTAATAGCCATTTGGTTATATATGTTGGTTACCTAATTTCAGGCCCGGCCCAAATTATGTTGAATGGCAAATTCACTCTACTTTTTTCTTATAACAAAAACAACATATAGTTCTAAGTTCATGACGACTTATACATACTGTTATCAATATGTCGTAATCTCATTTAACAGTATATCATAAGTACTTACATTATTTCGATTCAACTTTTTTTTGTGTGTGTGCTTGCCTAGATTTTTTCTCCAATTACTTTAACTTTTTTTCCTGTATAGCAAAATAAGCATTATTATGTAGCTAGACCAACATGTTTTCACTAAAACCGTAACTTTGTATGTTTATTTTACATAATGGGAAATGAAAAGAAAAATAAACCTTAACACTAGTAAATTCTGGTTTGTAGATATATTGGAGAAAAAAACAGGTTTATAAATTAATTATTTAAAAAAATCCAATATCATTAAATGACAATTAAACAATTCATAGTTGAAATTTCTGCAATGATATGAGTTTCTGATATATTATAAAATATTTAATTTATGTTTTTATAGTTAATCTTTTATTTTCTGACCCAATCTATTTTTTTCTTTTCTTTTTTCTCTTTTCTTTTGAAAAGGGTGTCTGACCCGGCATTAGACTTTATCCACCACCATTGCTTCATGCAGTTCTCCGGCGGTCGCCATGTCACGTTCTTACCATCATCATATGTCTTTGCCTCAGACAGATAATTCCTCCAATCCACAAGCACTTGTCTCAAATCATGATTCTTATTCTCAAGTCCCACACAACAATTGGCATGCATTGTGCAAACCCTATCCAGGTGCCGACCCCGCTCACAGAATCCTCCGAAGTACTTTGTATCGAGAAACCTCATTTTGAGTCCTATTTCTGCAGTGTACCGATCGTGTTTGATTTCATTGAGCACGCCTTGATCGTTTTGATCCGGAAATCGCAGCCTCGACGCGTACCAGTAGTTGTAGAAATCTATGGTTCGTTGATTGGCTTGGACAAAAATGAAACCACTGTTAGCCTCGTTGCCGATGTCGCTATCGTTTCCACTAAAGCGGTCACAAGAGAATTGGAAATCGAAATCTTTAGATAGACGAGGGAAAGGATCTCGAAACCACATTACATCTATGTCCTACACACATTAACCATATGTTAATAAAAAGATTATGATATAAATAACTAACCATTTGTTAATAAAAAAAAAATTGATTTAATCATTAAAATCGACGTCTACTAAGTACTAACTATTTCATTTTTACTTAATCAGCACCAAGTTTTGACTAATCGAAAGATGAGAAGAATCGAGTAAAGAGTTAAAAAGCTGTTGTCAGTTATGTTTTTATATACAAACGGGAGATTTTTGACAGAAGCTAATACTAATCCACAATGTTAATAGAAGAACATTTTTGCTATTTAAGACGTCAATAATGTTTGAAATTACAGTAGAATGATTCGAACCCTATTATCCTAACAACATGATGATGAATTCCCCTCACTACTAAACCACAATAAATCATTTATAAATTAGTTATATGAGTTATATAGGGTCACACTATGTCTTCTAATTTTGTCACACTTATGAACAACAGGCAAAGGTTGACACTTTAAAAATCAACAACATGGAAACGACGACGTACAAAGAGTGAGAGAGATGGATACCGTGAAGATAAAGTTATATCCGAGCTTGAGCAAAGTAGTCAACAACTCTGTACGACGCCACATCATCTTGAGAAAGTCCGGCGTCATGAACACTTTCTGGTCGGAGAAATCCATTTCCGTTTTCATAAAGTAGCAGAGGCGGGGATGGACCTCCAAGCACCGAGAATATGCCTCCGGGTCGAGACATGCCACGACAAGGTGTCGGAGCAATGGCTTAGTCCCTTTTCCGATGCTAAAACTCTCAAGAAACAAATCAAACGTCGAGTTTGGTACAGACCAAGCCCGGTTTAAGGTGGTTATTATCACCGTCTTGTCCTCAGTTGCTGCTTCCCTCAGGATCCTTCCCAAAATTTTCACATCTTCTTGATGATGCTGTCCAACAATAATAAAAGAAATGTTTCAAGAACAAATTCTTTCTCAAATATAAAATGTATACTTTATTAAGGTATATGTGTGATTAAGTAGATTTTTTTTTGTTTCCTTTATTTTAAAACATTCATATATAGCATTTTGTCACAGGAAGAGTACTATACTAAATCTACAATTTCTTTCAAAGTTTCCTGTCCTATAAGGAAACCATTATATTTAAAGAAAACGGCAAAAAGCAGATAATTTGGTTAAAATTGATTCAAATGTTTATTATTAGTAAAAAAACATTCATATATTTATAAACCCTTAGAAAATGAATGAAAAGGAATAAAATATTCATTTTCATACTTTATAAGAAATATTTTAACATTGAAATTCCTTAATCAATATGGAATGAGAATAATATGAAATACACCTTACTTATGGATGGTGTAATTCTTAGAGAATAAAAGGGAATTTTTTTTTCTTCCCCCTTATTTTTTAGTCACCGATTACAGCCTTAATTTATTGGAAATTTATCGTTTTCAGAAATGGTAATTAATACTTATATTATCTACAATTGTAAAACAACTATATTTACAAAAAAAACTTTCAAAACGACAAGGAACATAAGATAAGAGATCAATTTCTGAATATCATATTAAATTATACTATTATTTTGTAGTTTTAAAAGTTAGATATAGTTTCTAGTATATATAACAAAGACAATTTTCTTACTACTTACTAGATACTATAAGCTAATTACTACCTAGTTGTTACTTCTTCTTTTTTGTACCAATCAGACTTTACTTGGTTGATAATGTACTGAAAATAGAATAAGAACCACAATATCCCAACCAATTGAATTATACAAAAATTCAGGAAAAGCGATTAGCATAAACTTAACAAAAAAAAAATTCAGAAAAGAGGAGCCGTGGTGTAGTTTCGGAAAAAAAAAAGTATATGTAGGAAAACATTGAAAATTTAAGTAAATAAAAAACAGAACCAATTTAAGTACATAATATACAATACATTTGTGCACAGATTAATATAATTGTAGAATACTAACGACGTTGGGGAAGCGTAAACCAATTTGGCAGACCAAGAAGCCGGCGACAAGTAAGAAACCGGAGACGACTAAGAAACGGGAGACCGTCACCAAATACCTCCGCCGCAGCAACCGAGGCATTGTTTTTATCATAAAAAAACAACTGAGGCAATGACGCAAACACTTATGAAGAGCTCATGAAGTCAATATATTTTATATGCAAAATATACTTAAATAAAGCAAAAGGTATAAGTATAGAAAGCTAAAATATATATGTTAAAAAGAAACAAATGTTAAATTTTTTTGAAAAAGACTGTGGAAGGAAACAAATCTATGCTTACAAGTAAAAAAATATTAAAAATATATAGGGTGTCCATAAAATATACTCCTTCTGATTCTGAAAGAAGGATTTTTGGAAAAATATTAATATTTTTAGTTATAAATATTTCACTTTTTTGGTGAATGGGAAAACAAGTTGTGGAGGAAACACAATGTGTATGCTCCATCGATGTTTCACTTTTTATCCGTTCACCATTCATAGCCATATATAAATATCCCATGTTTAAATATCCGTTAAAATCCATATTTTTAACCAAATATCTGTTTTGTTAACTAATCAAATACAGATCTGTTTTGCTCTATTAAACTTGAATAATAAGTTAATAACTAGATTAAGATCTGGATGATAAACACGAGATAGCAATAGATGTTCACTACAGTAGTTGCACGGCGTAAGAAATTTAAAAGTCTTTTTATTGAATACGATTTTAAAATTAGTTGAAATAAAAGTAATTTAACAGTCATTAACAATATTTAATTTTCTGATCAAACAAAAATATTTAAAATATTCAGAAATATATTACAAATTGT